GATGGGTATACAGGTGCAAGCACAAGGGAATGGAGGGAAATGGATGGGGAGGAGAGATCAGTGGACGTGCGTAGCTGCACCGACGGGTGTGGGGTGTTGGCGCAAGGGAATGGAAGGAAATGAGGGGAGAAGAGGCCAGTGGGCATGAGCGAGCATAGCTGCGCGGAGGAGTGCGGACGGACTGCATGGAAATGGGTAGATGTGGGACGAGGAGAGACCAGCGGACATGAGCGGGCCTGGCTGTGCGGACCTGTGCGGACGGCGTGGGTGCAAGGCGTGGGGAGGAGGGGTGGGTGGACAAGCAAGCGATTGCGGACAAATAAAAGCTGTGCCAAAGCTTTTCTGTGTCAATGCGTCCATGTACAGGCGTTGGTGTGTAAAGGCTTTTGGGTTGAGAAATTCCTGTGTGTAAGAGCTCTGTGTACAGGTTCCCGTGCGAAAGCTTCTGTGTAAAAAACTTGTGTATAAAAGGTTCCGTGTGTAAATGCTCTGTGCATCTAGACTCTAGACGCTTTTCTGTGTAAAGGTTTTTCTGTGCATCTGTGTGTAAAAGCATCTGTGTGCACAGGCGTCTGTGTAAAAGTTTCTCTGTGTAAAAGCTCCTGTGCGTAAAAGCTTCTGTGTGTAAAAGCTTTTCTGTGTAAAATCTTTTCTGTGTAAGGTTCTGTGTGTAAAGGCTCTTTGTGCAAAATTTTCTCAGTGTCAAAGCTTTTCTGTGTAAAAATCGATGTGTAAAAGCCTTTGTGTGTAAAAGCCTTTCTGTGTCATTTTTTTGTGTAGAAGCTGTTGTGTGTAAAGGCTTCTGTGTGCATCTGTGTGTACAGGCGTCTGTCTAAAAGTTTCGCTGTGTAAAAGCTCCTGTGTGTAAAAGTTCCTGTGTGCAAAAGCGTTTCTGTGTAATTTGTTTTCTGTGTAACGTTCTACGTGTAAAGGCTCTTTGCGCAAAATTTTCTCAGTGTCAAAGCTTCTCTGTGTAAAAGTTTTTGTGTGTAAAAGCTGCTCTGTGTAAAGGTTCGTCTGTGGAAAAGTTTCTGTGTAAAGGCTTCTCTGTGTAAATGCTGATATGTGTAGAAAAATTGCTTTGTGTAAAGACTTGTCGGTGTAAAAACTTGGTGTGTAAAGGCGTCTAAGAGCAAACGCTTTTCTGTGGCTTCTATGTGTAAAAGCGTCTTTGTGTAAAAACTGCTCTGTTAACGGCCTGTCTGTGTAAAAATTTCTCTGTGGAAAAACATCTGTGTGCAAAGGCTTCTCTGTCTAAATGTTTCGGTGTGTAGAAGCTGCTCTGTATAAAGGCTGCTCTGTGAAAAAAAATGTGTGTTTAAAAGCTGTGTGTAAAAAAATCCTGTGTGTAAAGGTTTCTCTGTGTAAATGTCATAATGTTTCTGTGCGTAAAAACTTCTGTGTGTAAAGGTTTTTTTTAAAAATCGAAGGTTTCCCTGTGTAAAACCACTGTGTACAAGTTCCCTGTGTAAAGGCGTCTATGTGTAAAGTTTCTCTGTGTAAAACTTCTTTTTGTATCTGTGTGCATAAGCTGGTATGTATCAAAGCATCTGCGTATAAAAGCCGCGTCTGTGTGCAAAGCCTGTTTTGTGTAAAAGCTTCGGTGCACGATGTAAAGGTTTCTGTGTGTAAAAACTCTTGTATGCCAAAGCCTCTGCATGCAAGAGCATCTGTGTGCAAAGGAACTATGGATATATGCCATTTGACCTACGTCAACTATCATTCATCATCATCATCATCATCATCATCATCGAATCATCATCATCGAATCATCATCATCGAATCATCATCATCGAATCATCATCATCAAATCATCATCATCGAATCATCATCATCGAATCATCATCATCGAATCACCATCATCGAATCATCATCATCGAATCATCACCATAACCATCATCATCATCATTATCATCATCACCATCTTCATCATCATCGACGAAACATCATCATCATCATAATCATCATCATCATCATCATCATCATCGAATCATCATCATCATCATCATCATCACTATCATCATTATCATCATCGTCTCTTATCATCATATTTTCGTATGTATTATCTTCTCGTCTCCTCCCTCCTGCTATCCTTCGGGCCACATTGTCGTGTAGTTTAGTAGAAAGCTGGGCCACTGCCATAGACTTTGTCCGCAGATGAAAAGAGTGCATAAAAATGCCGCGAATCTTGCAAGCTCATGAAGGCACATTCTAAAAATATGGTAGCAAGGGGAGGAAAGGAGGTGCCAGCAACCAATCATTCCGATTTGTTTGCTGTCGTTTTGTTTTTGGGTTCTCCGGTCCCCCTTTGGTTTTTTACAACAAAACCTCATTTTTTTTGTTAACAGAATCACCATGATCCATTTTTGCTGCAGGTCATGAGAGGAGGGACTCGCGTAGCTCAAGGGATTTCCTTCCTTTGTGCCACTTGGGCGCCATTGGGAAAGGGAGAAAATGTTGTTTTTATGGGTTGCAACATCGTTTACAATGAAAATATGTGGAACTGATGTTTAAGCTTTGGGAAAAAATTTGAAGGGATTTGAACATCTTGCATTTTGACCTTTTTTTAGGATCATTGTTAGGATTACAGCATGTTTCCTCTCCATCCGACTTGATCCAACTTGTACCAAGGACGCCCAACATCAACAAAAACCCACCGTGCCATTGAGGCGGTAAGCTTTGGTCTAGCATTCTTGAGCCCACGCTTTGGTTCCTTGGGAAGGACGGGGATATTTCTGGGTGACTGGTGATGACGACTGAGGCTACAAACGATCTGAATACAGTACAATGAACATCGAAAAAAATATCCACCAGGTGCTGCTCCAATAGATCCCAAAGTCACATCAAACCAGGTGGATTGTATTTTGATATTGTTTATCCCATATAAATTTGATAAATGATCCATTTATATGGGATTTGAATATGATTGACTCACCCTTCATCTATCTTCATCTTCATCCTTTACCATTCTCCGTTGAATTCATTGAACGCCTCAGGAATTACTCCAAAGGCCTGCGGAAAAGCAAAAAATTGCCATAGCCTGGGGGGCCTCCGCCATTCTGAACAAGCCAGATCGTGGTTTTGCGTTGGAACCAGTTGATAGCTGGTTGATGATAGATGTTCATCCAGAAAATATTCTAAAACTTGATTTTTTCCAACTTTTGTACGCTTCCAGATCATTGTCCTATATCAATCAATAATCAGTTGTCCGATCATTGTCCTATATTATAATCAATCATCAGTTGTCCGAAGTGCAAATTATGCCATGACCAGGTGTTCCCCGCTCAGCGTGCTGGGCCCAGAGAAGGTCGAACAGTGGAAAGCTCCCAAGTGGGCTGTGATTTTTGTTGGGTTTAAGCATCGTTAAACATGAAAGAAAACTTACTAAATAAATATTTTGTTTCTATACTTCAAAATCAAATATGAATAGGCACATACATATATATATATATGTAAATAATAATAACAACAATAATAATAATAACAATAATAGTGATAATATCTCTAATATGAAAATCATGCCAAAAACCACCTGAACGTCAAAATCCTTCCCTGGCCCGAGGTTCCATGCGGCCGAAGCTGGAGTGGCTGGAGTAGAGGTCACCCTGGGAAGCCCAGGTCACCTCAGGTCACATTCAATCATCCTTTGGCTGCGGAATGATATGGAACGATGTTCAATTTTTAAGCCTCAGTTTTTGGTGTTTTGGTGTTTGGTGATTTCCCTCAGAGATCTTTCATAAACCCATGGCCAGCAAATCTCGGGTTTGCGTCCCCAGTTTTGACCCATTTTCTACAGATTAATCGTGTGCCTTTCTCACTGTGAGATTGGTGATGGCATTCCTTGGTGGATGATAATCCAGTGATCCATATGGAGACAATTCATAGATGATCCATTGATGATAATAATTATTATCTTAATAATAACTATCATCCACAATGTTCCATAATCCATAGTTCATGGATAATGATAATTAAGACAACCCACATTCCACAATCCATACTTCATTATCTGAAGCAACACAAAGACATTCATCTTCATCATCATCATCATCATCATCATCACCATCATCACCATCATCACCATCATCATAATCATGAATCATCATTGAATCGTCATATTCCATGATAATAATCCATAGTATTCCATCATATTCCATCATCCATACTGCATGTTCGCACCCAGGGCATGGAATCAGTGGGTCCAGCTATGGCGGCTGCGGCGTTTCTGTGGCTCAGCGAAAATCTATGGTGTGGGATAGAACGATAGGGGGAGTTTAACCAACCGTTGTTTATTACAGACTATAGGAATAGTAGAAACTATAATAGGAATTGTCATTCATTATCCATTGACATTGATGGTTGGAAACATCCCCATCATTGGCATCTTAGATTCCCATTGACATTGAGATTGGATGAAATGAGATGATATAAGCAACTAAGCACCAATTAGAATGGGGATCAGCAACAACTTTCTAGGAATATCAGGCAAAAATTTGATTAGTCAAGTGATGGCATGTTTTCTCAGAAAAATTGGGGCGAAGGCTGCATTTGTTCCCTTCCGTAAATATGAAGATTTAAGAAACAAAGCAATCTCGATGCGTAGATGTCATGTTCCTGCTGGTCTATAAACGCAGGGTGCCCAGATTTTTATCAACCTTTCATCATGAACGGGTAAAGAAAGGAACCAAGCCTCCTAAAAACTTTTTCAGAAAGGATAGCATTGTTTGAAAGGGCAAAGGTTCCGGTCAGCAGATTTGCCTTGTACTGAACTTCCGTGGAGAACCACATGTGTTGGCGCGACTGCGGCACAGCAAGGCTTGAGCCACCGAAAATGTTGACGATCACATGAAAAAGAGCTTCCCAAAAGTGCGTGGTGCACATGCACTGATTCATGTCCAACCCCACTTAAAAGTGATCCAGGCTCAGTGTCCCCAGCTCCAACCTGTTCCCCGCATTACCTTTTTTCGATTTCTTGCCATCTAAACCTCACGGCTTGACACATGACCCATGGCACCCGTGGCCGTCCGATGGCCCGCCTGGCAGTCCTGGTTGCTGCCGTAGCTGGTGGCCCCGCTGCCCTCCTGCCCCGACGACCGCTGCTGGTGACACTCGTGAACGCCGACGTGACGCCACCGGCGGCACCGGCGGAATCGGAACTGCAAGAGGCGAAGGAAAAATCGGTGATATCGGTGAGGTTGGTTTCTTTTATATTCTTTTATGATCTTTTATGATGTTATCTGATTTTTTGGCAATTTATGGCAGTTCGTAAATTTCCTGGAAAATGAGCTGATGTCGAGTCTAAACCACTGGGTTTTGAGGTCCCATTTTTGGTAAAACCAAAACGTCGGTACTTTTGGGTGCCCATGTTTATCCTTTTTTGACATCCAAATTGATTTAATTAATGTTCTCGTTTGAGGCTGGACAGTTCTTTGACAAATCATTCTCTAAATCTATATGTTGGTCATTTTCTACTTATATTTGGAAATCACCAAGTGCACTTGTTACAAAAGCTTGCGACATGATCGAATCTTCCGAAATTCCAAAAATCTGCAAATCGCAACTTCCAGGTGCTGATCACAGCAGGCCAGGCTTTGGCGCAGACCACTTTGGAGGACTACCGCGCCATGGTGGACGACGAGCAACGCACCGCAGCCTATGCCGCGGCCATCCAACGCCGCGCCAAAGGCGCCACGGTGGCGGACGTGGGCACCGGGCCCTTCGCGTTGCTGGCGGTACTGGCGGTGAAGTTTGGAGCGCGGAAGGTCTACGCCATCGAACGGACGCCTGAGGCGACGATGTTTGAAGTATGTTGAAGTGCCATCTTGGAAAAAAGTGATGGAAATTGATTGATCTACACTGATTTACAGTAAAATGGGTGCATGTGTATGGTTGATGGTGAAAGTTGAGGACTCGTTCGCCCTAAATTCTTTGGTTTGATGATTCTGGATTCATTCAATAAGGAAATACATATTAACATGTAATATCAACAATATTTATATATTATATATTATATATTATATATTATTTATTGTCGAAAGGGGCACATCAGCATTGCCGTTCCGCAGCCATAGGCTCCGCCAGGTGCGTAAGAAAGTTTTGGGGCGCTGATGCATTTCGAGTGGTAGCCGGAGCTTCTGGTTGGATCTTTGGCCTTGTGGGTGAGGTGGTGATCTTGTTTGTGGAGTGGGCCGGTGGCTTGGGTCATTGTGGAGCACCTGGTGGAGTCTATGCCCACTTACCAGGCGATGTATACGGGCACACAAGCTGGCAATGCAGCTGCGGAGGATGGGAGTGAAAGTTTGGCGACACCGCCAAGGAGAGGGGGGGCATCTGAGCCTCCGAGCAGTGGTGACAGACCGAGCGTGATGAGCTCGGGTCGTGGTAAAGGTCGTGGAGGTGAAGGACCTGAAAGGTATCAGTGATGGCATCTGATGTGGGATCAGGTGCTGATCGGAGTGAGGGAGCTGCTGATAGCAGTTGGGAATGGGAAACCAACTCGTCATGGTGGAGCACTTCTGGGAAGTATGAGAATTGGACGTGGGTGGGTCGCCAACGCAACTCAGATCACTCCAGTTATGGTGATGCATACTATGCCAACTGGGATTGGGAAAGGTCGCATGACCCTTGGCGGGACTGGTACAACGATCGAAATCTTCGAGATCGTTCGGGAGTATCTCATGATAGCGATCAGGGAGGCCGTGAAGAACCCGATCATAGAGGTTGGCGTGGTGATTGGTGGAATGGGGGCGAGACGGATGTTCTCTCGCCGAAGTCAGTGCCAGCAGCCCGTGATGTCAGTGGTGCCTTGCCGTCGGGCGAGATGAGCTCAGTGGGCCAGCAGAAGGAGAACAAGGTCGCTGGAGATCAACGCCATTCAAAGATCTCCTCTTCGTATCCACCCATTTTCAGGGCCAAGCCTGGCGAATCCTTCAAGGAGTGGAAGAGGTCAGTTGGATTTTGGTTGGGTGGTGAAGCCGGTTCTCTTCCAGCTGAGCTCATTGGACCGAGGTTGATGGTGCAGTTGCGAGATAGAGCTGGTCAGCTAGTGCACCATCTGAGCAATGAGGACGTGAACAAGTCCGACGGCATGAAACTGGTGATGGACACCCTGGAGAAGAGCCCATTGATTCGACAGCTTGACAAGCACAAGGTTGACATGCACCGCAAAAGATTGATGTCTTTGCGAAGGCTGCCGCAAGAGAGCTTGGAATCCTATGTGACCCGAGGCCAACTCTACAGGACTCAACTGGTGGCTTTGGATGATGCAATGCAGATGGGTGAATGTTTTTTCACTGGACATCTGCTGGATGGTGCTCGGCTCTCGCGAAAGGACAAGGTGATGATCAAGACTCGAGCCGGCAGTGATCGCGAGGTTGATGTGACCAACGCGATGGTGGAGTTGGCCCCGGAGTTGGAAGGAGAGCATGGCTTTCCCATCGGCAATTCTGAGCCGAATGCAGCAGCCAGGCAAGGCGAGGAGTTTCTCATTCAGCGCCCTGAGAACTCTCGCTTTGCCAAAAAGGAGGTCAACGCCGTGGAGTTTGACCCGTTTGCGGAGGAGAACCTCGAGTTTGACGATGAGGCGTCCTTGGTGTTGGAAGAGTTTGACCCGCCGGAGCTTGTGCAGGCGGCCAATGAGGCCTTTGCGTTGCAGCACAAAGCCAAGCAGCGCATTATGGAAGTGCGCAAGCTGAGGCAATACTACAGGCGCCCTGACCGACCTGAACAAGATGAACGGCGCCGTGCACTTCAAGAGAAAATGCGCACATCCCCATGCCATCGTTGTGGCGAAATTGGCCATTGGAGCCGTGAATGCCCCCAGCGAAACAACGCTGTGGCTGCCACCGCCTTGAAGGGAAGTCATGCGGCAAAGACTGCCGAGGAGGAGTGGTCAGCCTTGGTGTCACTTTGTCATCAACCAGCAAGTGTTGCAGCGTCCGCTTCTGGAGCATACAAGGAGCGTTTTGTGGGGGTGATCAATTACGTGGGGGGCATAGCGCATGAGACCATGTGGTGCCAACAGGAACTTCGTTTGAATGTCATCTTAGACTTGGGATGTGTGAAATCGGTGGTGGGCTTGGCATGGATGAACCAATTGGTGAAGGAATGGAAAAGTAGGAATAGGTGGTTTGCAGTGCATCCCGAGCAAGAGAAGTTTCAATTTGGCAATGGCGAGACTTTGACTAGCCGCTGCAGAGTTCAATTTGAGTGCATGGTTGGGGGATGTCACATCATCTTGGGCATGTCAGTTGTTTCTGGGAAATGCCCACCACTTCTTTCTCGGCATGCATGTTCTCAATTGGGATTGAAGATCGATTGTGCGGCCCATTCATTTAGCTCGACACGCATGGGCATCAAGACGTTTGGATTATCTCAAGCATCAAATGGTCACTATTTGCTGCCTCTCTTCGACTTTGATGAGAATCTCCGTTCTGATATTCCTTCAGATTTTTCGTTGATGAAAGGTCAAGAGGCTCAGGTGATCAAGAAGGTAAGTCTTCACTCTGAAGTTGTTGAGCAACCGGCAGCTGTCATGTTCGAGCTTACGAATGACCGTTCAATTCGTTCTTCAAACCCGACGTCCACTCCGACCTCTGCAGATGGCGTCGGTGCCCGCGGCAGCGAAGGCGAAGTCAGTGGTGGAAAAGCCGGTGGCCGAGCCCAAGATCGTCACCTGTCGCCTTTGCGGCGATCCCGGTCACCGAGCAACGGAATGCCATATGCTGGAGCATCTGGAGAGCGAGACAGAGGAGGAGATGAAGGTGGATCAGGGCTACTTGGAGCAGAATCGGAAGAAGGTGACCACTCGCCGCTCCTCTCGAGCTGCACAACCACCCCCGAGTCCTTCGATGAGCACCGAGCAGCTTTCGACTTCGGAGTGGGAGCTCATGCAAGGCCTCAGCAAGGACGAGATTGCCCTGATCAACAAGCGCCGTGCGAAGGCAGCCATCACCCGTTCCAAGCAGCAGGCCAGTCGAGCGTTGACAGGGGAGCAGGCCAATTTTCCGAGCCTCTCTCACATGTGGTCTCAGGAGGTGGCGATGAACATGGTGTTCGCGATGGCCTCTCGAATGAGAACCTTTCTGTGGAAAAAGCTGCTTTGGCAACTGAGGGTGAAGTCGGCTGTGGATCGCATGCAAGGAGCTCGATGGAAGCGCAATCCACGCTGGCTAGCAATGCTGCTGTCCAAGGAAGTGGGTGCGATCTGGGGTCATTACGGAGCTCTTCGTCAGAAGTTGAACAACCCGGACATCCTCTACCTGATGTGACAAGGGAGAAGCAGCTGCTGTTGCAGCGTGGCATGGTGCAAAGCTTGAAGCAGGGCGTGGGAAAAGGGCTGACACGTGGCCGTCGGATCACTGACACCGCAGCGATGGAATCGTTTTGTGGTGGTGGAGATCTATGCAGGCGTGGGGAACCTCACCAAGGTCGCCAAGAAGGAGCTTCACGCGCATTGGGCCGCATTGGAGCCTATTGACATCATCTATGGTCAGGACTTGAAGAAGAAGGCTACTCGGGATGAGGTGTGGCAGATTCTGTATGAGACTGAGCCCGACCTGGTGACCTTGTCCATGCCTTGTGGGCCTTGGTGTCAGTGGATGAATATGTGCGATCCTGACGAAGTGGCGGACCGCAGGACTTTGGACATGCCCCTTTGGCGCTTTGCTCGAGATGTTTGGGATTTTCAGACACGTCGAGGAGCCCTGGCCATGACAGAAAATCCTCTGGGCAGTGAGGGGTTGAAGTTGAGCTTCATGGAAAAGAGGCCTCAGCTCCATCGTGCCAAGGTGGCTCAATGCATGTTTGGCCTCAAGGATGTGATCTCGCAGAAGCCTCACAGGAAATTGACCACATTGGATGCCAACGACCCGCACTTTGCACATTTCCTGGAAGAGGGTGGTCAATGTCTACATCATCCTGAAGAACATCAGATCTTGGAGGGCAGGGTGCAAGTCGATGGTCATTGGGTGAACCGTACTTCCTTGGCAGGAATTTGGCCGGTGAAGCTTTGCCGACACATCCTTCGAGCTGCCTGGAAGACCCTGACAAAAATCGAGAAGATTCCTTCCTGGTCTTTGACAGAGCCGGTGAATGACCCCAAGCTCTGGGAAGGGCATGCGATAAATGCGGTTGCCTCAGGACATGTCCCAGAGGAGAATCTGAGACAAGAGCTTCAGCAGCTGGGTGCCGGTGGTGATCGCTACGGCTACATCACATTCGAGGGAGAAGGTCAACAAGTTCCTCGGCGCATCCGCTCTGCTGTCGCCCATCTTCATGCCGCCTTGGGCCATTTGGCAAATGATAGGCTGGTGAGAATGCTGATGCTGAGTGGAGCGGGGGAAGCCATCATCAAGGCAGCTCGCAATTTGCGTTGCCAAGTCTGCGCAATGGTTCAACCACCTCGAGATGCTCCTCAGGTGGCTTACAACAAGCCCTCCAATTTCAATGAACGCATCTCCGGTGACACCTTCTTCATCTGGGACTGCAAGGGCAAGAAGTATGGCGTGGTGCACTTCTTGGATGAGCTGACGGACTTTCATGTGGCAGACTGCACCGATGCGGTGGATTCCACCTTTGCAGCAGGCGTTTTGAGAGATCAATGGTATGGTGTCTTTGGTCCCCCGGACGTGATCGTCACGGATGGTGGCATGGAATTTGCAGGAGCAGTGGAGGTCCTCAACGACTTGATGGGCGTGGTCCACGACACCATCCCGGAGGGAGCAAAGTGGCGCTTGGGCCATGCTGAACGTCATGGGGGAATTCTCAAGCTGATGCTCCTGAAGATGCTCAAGGGTCTCAACCTGGATGGGCTGGATGATATGCGCACCGCAGTCACGGCCGCATGTGCAGCCAAGAACCGGCTTTGCAACCATGGTGGTGTGTCACCGCTTCAGGCCGTGACGGGTCGCAATTCCTTGATCCCAGCTTCCTTGATGACGCAGATTTGTTCAGGGAAGATGAAGTTCGTGCTCAACCAGGACCTTGACCGCGAAGAATGCCTTCGTCGAGCTGAGCGTATCCGTCATGGGGCGATTGAGAGCTTTCATTGGCTGGACTCTCACACCACACTGAGGAGAGCTTTGGCCAGCAAATCCCGACCACCGAGATTGGAGATGCTGAAGGAAGGGGCTGTGGTGTACATCTATGACCCTCCGGCTAACCGCCGCGGGCTTGCCAGACGATTGCAAGACAACATCAGCTGGCATGGTCCTGCAACGGTGGTGTGTGTGGAACGAGATCGACGGCTTCCTGGACGCATTTGGGTACGCCTTCGAGGGCGAGTGAAATCGGTGCCGCTGGAAAAGATCCGGCTTGCGACAAATGAAGAGCTGGTTAGCGGTCAGTTCATCAATGAGGCCCTCCACGAGCTGCATGATGAGCTCACTTCAGGTAAGCTTCGGGCAACTGAGGTGGACATGCCGATGCTCGAGGATGAGACCCCTGAGGTGCCTCCAGAGTTGCAGGCCATGGCATTCCAGAAGAGGAATCTTCGTCGAGCACGGAGAGCCGCGGTGACATGGAGGAGGACCAAGAGACAGATCGCATGCGCTTGGAAAAGCGCCTGTTGGATGATGTCCCCTTGCAATTTCGAGCTGAGCATGCATCGTCATCAGCTGGTCCTCTTCAACGCGCCGAACTTGAAGAACCTCATCGCCTGCCTTTTCCGAAGAAACAGCGGCTGTTTGAGAACTTGGCCAAGACTCTGTCTCCTCCAACGCCCCTCCAAGAGGCCCGTGTGCGAGGTCAATTGGAAAAGGCTTTTGAACAGTTGAAGACAGTGCGGCGCAGTCTGAACACGGCACGCCCTCGACCCAAGGCTGGTGCCAAGGATGTCACACGTCGCCGAGCTCCACCGACCCAGGCTGCAGTGGTGAACAGTCCTACAGAAGAGGAGCCAGCACCAGAACAAGATGGACGTGATGATGTTTTGATGGCAGCTGTGCCCGTGGAGGAGCCCATTGAAGTTCTGGTGAGTGGCCAGTGGAGTAGGCCGGGCGGTGTCACAGAGGACGACGATGTGGAAGTGCGAGAAGGGAGCAGCAGTGAAGATTCCAGCATTACGTTCCCTGAGGGTCCCTATGTCCCTGACGATGTCGGCACTTTTGCAGATGAGCGCCTGGCCTCCTTACTCAACCGCCACATGTCTGCCGAGAATGAGTCTCTGGAGCTTGAGAAGGTGATTGAGAACATCAACACAGACCAGGCGGAGTATGGGACGTACGTCACCGAAGTACTGCAGCAACATGTGCTCTGGACTACGAATGCAGTGTTGGCCGGTCAGGACATGCCTGACAACTTCAAGAAGAACCTGCAGGAAGAACAACAGGTGCTCGACCATGCCAAATTGGTCACTGGCAAGGAGCGTGTAGAAATGGCCTGGAACCAATTGGATGACCAGTGGCGTCAGGCCTTTGTGCAACCCATTGTGAAGGGCTTCAAGGTGTACTTTGATCATCAGGCTCTTGCTGGAGTACCCGAAGGCCAATGGGTTGATCCTCAGCGCATTCTTCCTTCCCGGCTCGTGCTGACCAACAAGGGCGGGGCCACTTTGGAAGAGGCCGAATTGAAGGCGCGCTGGGTGTTTGGCGGTCATCGTGATCCCGATGCTGGAAAGTACCCTACTTCTAGCCCAACCGTGTCTCTGGTGGGACACAACCTCCTGAACTTTGTAGCAGTGCAGAAGGGATGGTGTGTGGCGTATGAGGATGTATCTGCGGCATTTTTGCAGGGCCAAGGTCTTCCAGCTGAACGTGAGATCTATGTGAGAATTCCCCGAGGTTATCCTCAGGAAGCCTTGGACGAGCTGCAGAAGATGATTGGGCCAGGCATGCGCAATGATTTGGTGCGCTTGTTGAAAGGTGGCTTTGGCCTACCTGAATCGCCACGTCTGTGGTACTTGGAATATAAGAATACGCGGCTGAGCCTGGGTGGTCGAGAACTTGAACTACTTCCTGGTTTCTTTGTCTTTGATGATGAAGAGGGGAATCTCATCGGCATGGCTTGTATCCATGTGGATGATACCCGATACACTGGTTCCCCTGCAGCAAACAAGATCTGGGACGCGCTTCACCAGCGCCTCAACTTCGGCAAAAAGAGATTGGCCACAGAAGGATGGACCAAATTCTGCGGCCGGTATGAGCGCCAAGATCCCACGACTTTTGAGTTCTTCTACTCCATGGACGAGTACAACCGGAACATCCCCTTCGTCGAGGAGCGATCCAAAACGGATGAAAGTCGCCCCTTGACTCCACTGGAACGAAAAGCAATCAGCTCAGTGATTGGCCAACTGGCTTGGTCGGCTCGACAGTGCCGGCCAGATTTGAGCTATGGATGCTCTCATGTCCTTCAACTCGCAGGTCAACAAGATCCACTGGCTCTTCATTGGCTCAACAAGGTGGTGAAGCGGGCCCGCATGTTGATGGACATGCCAGTTCGCCGACTTGATTGCGAATTGGATGAGATGGTGTTTCTTGCAGTGAGTGATGCCGCCTATGCCTCACAACCAGGCGGAGGGAGCCAAGGCGGACTGATGATTGGCATTGCCAACCCCTTGATCCAGGTTGGGGTCGCAAAGGTGGCTTTCCTGGAATGTCAGTCATCCAGACTGCAACGAGTTGTTCGCTGCTCCATGTCAGCGGAGCTGTCTATGGCAGCTACGGCCTATGAGCACTGCGACTATCTTCGTGCCGTTTTCGCTGAGGTGATGCGACCTCAGTTCCGGCTGTCGCAGTGGAAGTTTCACGCCAGTCATTGGCGGAGCATCCTTGTGATGGATGCCAAGGTGGCCTATGGCGCCCTCAACAGCGAGACCGCCCCCACCGACAGGAAGCTGATCGTGGACATTGCGGTGCTTCGCGAGGCGTTGGAAGATCCGGCGGAGAGCGGATTTGTGAGATGGGTACCTGGAAAGGAGATCCCGTCCGATGGCCTCACAAAGTGGTATGGCAACGGATCTTTAGAGCGAGTTCTTTGTGAGGGCCAATGGTCTTTGATGGACACTGAGACGGCGGCTCAGCTTCGCCGACAAGTGGCAGAGCGAAAGCGCCGTTGTAAAAAGGCCAATAAGTGAAGCAATGCTGAGACCAAGGGGGTTTTGTGTCGAAAGGGGCACATCAGCATTGCCGTTCCGCAGCCATAGGCTCCGCCAGGTGCGTAAGAAAGTTTTGTGGCGCTGATGCATTTCGAGTATTATATATTATATATTGTATATTTTATACTATTTATATTAAATATATATATATATTTATTGGTATATGTATTCACCATGCTCAGGTGGCGGCTGAGGCACGGAAATTTGTAAAGGATGCGGCTTTGGAAGAGATGATTTCAGTCATTGAAGGCGACTCCAGAGAGGCGATGCTGTGAAATGTGAAAACTTGTCGGGCACTGTGTGTTATGTATTTATGTGGTGTCCTAAAAGCCTACGGTTTCCCTTGTAAACCATAGGAAAAAGGAAAAAAACATATGGAAAACCAATGGTTTCTGAAAATGATCTACAAATGTTAAGGTGTGTTTTGAATATCTATGTGACTTAACTGGAGTGTATATGCCGTATATGCCGTACATGCCTTAAACTTGTCACTTTTAAGGGGGAATGATCAACTTTGGGAATTGGTACCCTATTTTCAGACGAACCCATACTTTGGTCATTTCCAGTTACCCAGTATGGGGTTCGTTTTAATCATCCAATATGGTTCAACCATGTTTAACTGTTACAAACTTTCACTTTGTTTTCATTGTAACAGTTAAACATGGTTGAACCATATTGAATTGATATGAAACCATCCATTTTGGGGATGCTTTCTGTGGAGTACCCGGGGTACCTCATGATTTTCGGTATCAAAAGTGGTTTCTGTGGTTGATGCCTTTTATGACTTTTTATGACTTTTATGACTTTTGGACAGGTGAATCTGCCTGAAAAGGTGGATCTGATTGTATCTGAAGTGGTGGGAAACGTGGCCACAGGGGAAGGTGTGGTGAACACCATTCGAGATGCGCGGCGTCGTTTCTTGCGTTCTGATCTGCTGAAGGATCCTGAAGCCATGATCCCAAGGCGATGTCAAACAGCCATTGCACCAGTGACTGGTTGTCATGTCCAGCCAACGGTTAACCGTTGGTGGTTTACTATGTGGTTTCATACCAGTTGTTTACCACCGGTGACAAAGTCAGTCATGGAGATTTAACCGACCAGAATAGGTTTCTGGTTCAGCCATGGGTTTGTTCAGAACTAGGGTATGACAAGTTTAGGATGTTCTGATTTTTTTCTGGGGACTTCAGAATGATCGATCATTTGCGAATTTGCTGTTAAATAGTAGCCCACCATACCCCACCCCATTGAACACTACATAATACCATTATATCATTGCACACAGCGGCGTTAACATCCCAACTCCGAGTCCCAGGTGATGTATGTGAACCACGAACTCTTGGCCGCCAAGGGTCCGGAGTTTGTGGAGCGACCTTTCAAACTTTTTTCTGAAACGAAAGATTTGCAGTTTCTGGCTGCACCTCAGCTACTGGAAGATTTCGATTTATGTTCCCCTGGTGGACCTGGTGTAGATGATTTAGTGGAAAAGGAGACCTTGGACTTTGAGATCGATCAAAGTGATCAGCCTGGTGATCAAAGTGTGAAACAAAAGCCTCTGTTCTCGGGTTTTGCCTTGTGGCCTCGGCTGGTGGTGGATCATGTGAATCATGTGGATCAGCTGGTGGACATTCAAAATGTGGCCAGCCACTGGTCCTACGTGGTCGCCTTAATGTCCAAGCAACGAATTCCGCTGTCGAACGGATGTCGAATTGCGCTGCAGTGCCAGGTGGATCTAGGGAAGGTGCCATATTCCTACCTGCTGCGTGGGAAACTGCTGGAAAAAGATGGAAAATCCAGATTCATGATGATTCATGATGATTCATGATGATTCATGATGATTCATGATGATTCATGATGATTCATGATGATTCATGATGATTCATGATGATTCACGATGGTTCATGTGGATTTTGGATGAGTTTCATATGAGTTTCGTATGTTCTCATATGTTTTTTGGTGGATTTTGGCTCGCCACCTGAGGTTCTCTTCCCTCTCAGTGGTGCTCAGTGCGGGCTCCAGCTGTCCATAGTTTCCTATGACATCTATGACTGAACTGGAGGGTAAACAAAGAAAAGTTAGCCTCTGGTAAACTAACATAACTATGGAAAATCACCATTTTCAATGGGAAAATCCACTATTTCTATGGTCATTTCCAATAGCTATGTTAAATTACCAGAGGGTAGCCATAGATACTATAGCTAGCCATAGTATCTCCATCGTGAGATATGAAACTTCAACATCTTCAACCAATGATGGCTAGAAATGCTTTGAGGTTTACATCATATTTACAGAATGTTTACATATTTATCATATTTACCACATCAACCAATGCCATATTTACCCCAACGAAATCCCGATGGTTGGTTTTCCTTGTTTTCCCAGGCCAGAGCTGGGGTAGAAGATCCAGTATGTCATCAGCTCAGATGGAGTTTACCAAATGGGAAATCACATGGAAATCACATGGAAATCATATGGAAATCATATGGAAATCATATGGAAATTTGACTTCCGAAAAATCAGGCCTGCGAAATCCTCTCAGCTGACAGGCGTAGCCCAGGTGCGACGCAAGGGATGGGCTCGGGTGATGCCGTTTTTCATGCCGTTGCATGACATGTATTGAAATGTCACATGAATAACACATGATATTCCATGGTGGTAGATAGTCAAGTAAGAATATATTTGGAATATTGTATATTGAGAATCAGTGGAATATGTGCGATGGTGTCCAATAAATATCATTTTGAACTGTTGCCGTCCGGTATAACCCCCCTTCAACGGGGAAGGCGGTAGAGACGAGCACCGGAAGTTTGTTTTGAGGTGGTGGCCACTCTTCCAACATGTGGCAGGCTGGTGATGGTGCAGAGAGTGAAAGAATCTGAGAGAACAGAAAGTGTGATTTCCATTGTGAGATATTGACACTACTTTGACATGGCGACTTTATTTCCCATATTTTCCCATCCCCCTTTTGGGGGATTAGCACTTGACTGGTCTTTTGAAGAAAAGTGGACAAAACGAGTTTTTAAAACGTCCCCAGCGAGGTATGACCGTGTGAATGTGACACGAACTGCCATGGTGTCTGTGGCTCAGTGACACCTTGAATCGGCGCATTGAATCCTTGGTTGGGATGATATGGATGGTCTATGGTCTATGATGGTCTATGGTCTGGATATGTCTGGATGGTATGGCTTTGGATCATTTTGGATGATGATGGACTGGATGATTCTGCGACTAATTTTTAGCGACAATTCCAAGTTTTCCAAGTTGGCTACACCGAGGTTTGAAAAGTTCTCTGAACGGACCATCAAGGCGGCGATCCGATTTCTTGGTTGACTTTGTCGTCTTTGTGGTTGGGCTTGTCTAAGACCATGGAATACCCTGTGAAATCTCATAAATATTCAGAAATCATCATAAATCAATATTAAATCAATTAACATATTTAAAATCAAGTAGAATCCTTCAGAATCATGAATCCGACGGTCCGACGCCCGTTGTTTATGTGTTCTTTCCTGTCCGCCATAGATTAAATGATTGGGGTACCCTGTACCCCTCCGTCTTTTGACAAAGTCATACACGTGATGACTCTGCAGGGCATTCAAGTATGGCATGTTTGGCAACAAAATGGCTCTGCCTTTGTTGTGGGGAAAATCTTACTTAAATTCTCTATATTCGTCCATATGCTTATCTATTTTCCCTACACCCAACTTTACATTTCACATCATTTCATTTGAGATGTCACATCCGCTATCGCATCTGGACCTTTTTATGGGGTGAAAATGGCCCTAAAAATTAGCAGAACGCAACCTATCTTCACCTTGTCCAAGGCATGTGGGACCATAAATCAGTCTGTGAACGCATGGGTATGACGGGGTGAAATGGTTGAAAATTAATTAGTCAAAATCCCATAGAAATGAGTCAACATATTAGCGGATTGTTTATATTGTGGTTGTGGCATGCTGTGGCTATAGCCCACATATCTGTTGTATGGCTATATAGTTTCCTCGTGTTTTTCCCCACTGTGCTGTTGTTCCATCAGGCAGTTATGCTGGCTCAAGAAGAGGCCAAGAAAATCAAACAGGAGACCGAACGTCTGTTGGGCCTGCTTGGTCAGGAATGGTGATGGGAAATGGATCATATGGAGTATGTCGTGACAGTAACCTCCAAAAGATAGAATTGATATGAATTGATATGAATTATGATATGAATTTATGCTAATCATGAAAATTCTCACCCTGAAGGAGTGTTCTATAATCACAAATCACTTTGATGAATCTTGGCTGTTCTTGACCCAGGCTTACCTGGTATTGCTTGGTGGTTTGGAATCCCAACCCATGGCAGTGTTTTGGTGATATCATCAGCTGATACCGATGTAGGGATATCCGGCAGTGTTTTCCACATCAGTTGTCTACTAATATCTACTGGCCACATTGGGTATGCAACCCCTCATCCCAGCAGTTATATGCCCACTCCCATTTGATCATCAGTTTGATCTCCATCCCCTATGGCCCTATGGCCCTATGATGATCCATGAATTTCATCCATGGAAATCCATAGAAAAAAAAACCTCTGGTTATGACATTCACAGTTCGCCATGGTTTTTCGATGGCCTAATCGATTTATAGATGGTTGACCGAACTTAAAAATGGTGATGATCTTTCCAGTTCGCAAACTGTGAATGTCATAACCAGATGGTATTCATGAAATCCAACCAGGGCTTCACCACTGGTTTTTTGTTGAATCCCATCGTTTCATCGTTTAGGACCACGTCGGGACTGAGATGTTGGTGGTGGGTTTGTTGGCAGAGGGCAGTGGAGGGGCTAAAGCTCTGCAACAAATCGGTGTGCACTACCCCGAGGTGCGCTGGAATAGGCGTCCTGGAGGATCCTGGAGCTATGGCCTAAAAAATGGATCAAAAAAATATCCCAAAATAGCCAGAAATAAGTAGCCCAACAAAAACATGTGAAAAAGCTTCATTTTAGCGGTTTCACTGAAGTTTATCTCGACTTGGCATGACTTCTTCTGCTGGCTTCGAATGTTCATTTCCCAAGTGAGATTTCGTTGCCAAGTCTTGTTCTGTTTCTCGCAGATTGTCTCACTACGTTTGTTTACTATTTCAATCCAAAGCCGGCTTTGCTTGTTGCATTTGACATTTACAATATTTACAATCAATTCATTTTTGCTGTCATCTTTTTTGAACTGAGAAAACTGAGCACGTTTGCATCGTAAATTCTAGCAGCACATCTCACAACGGACAAATAGAGATACACAGGGAGGATTCCGAAGTCCCAGACAAGGCAAAAATTTCTGATTGAACTTGCTGGGATAAGCGCGGGTGGCAACGAAGGCCAAGAGGGAATTAGAGAACATGGTCGGTCAAGGCATGGGTCGGGGAGCCCAGTATGAGTGAGTTTTGCTGGGCAGGAAACAGCAGACAGTTGTCTCATCGTTACGTCTTTGTTTCTGAAAAATGCTTCTAGAAAAATCATGTGACAATATGTGACATGTAATTTCATGTAATATCTTCATATTATGATAGTATATCTTCATATTAGATTATATTAGTCATATTAATCTTCATATCGAGATTTTGCCCAGGTGGCAAAAGTGAAGAGATTCCTTTCACGACTTCGGCCAAACAAGTGCTGGAGGATTCCGTGATTTGCGCGCAGGAACGAGGCGTGACGGCCGTGACGGTCACAGCCGGTCATGAACAATATCACGTGCCCTAGAAACGATGCATGTTGATGCTTAGATGATAATGATTATACATGGTTATTATACATTGTTCGGTTATACTATAAAATACTATAAATAATCTATAAATCCCATATTAATAGCAGCCTCAACCAGTGTGACGGGATTTCTGAGCTGATGGAGGAAGTGAGTTTAACCGGGGGGAGCTGTCCTATGTCATTGGGATGGGTCGGAACAATGATGTCCTGGTTTTGGTTGGCTCGACCTGCCAGATATGCCGATGGTGAGCACATGCCACTTGCTTCGGGCTTTGCTGCGGCAGGCAGGGTTTTCATGAGGCTATGGGTCAAACTGGGTGGGATACCGATGTATTGCAATGTTATACAAGTTTAGTAGGAAATGATGGAAAACGAGGATCCACGAAATGTTCAGCCAGACCGAGTTTGTTAATTTGACTATCTCTTTTAGACTCTTTTCCAAGAGACTCCAAGCGATTCTGACGTGTTCCGCTCGTCGAAAACTCCAGGAAAACAGCAATGGCTGTAAGCTCCTTGGCAAAGTCCTTGCAACAGATAGCCTTCAGGCCTGGCCATGGCAAAATGGCAAAATGGCAAAGATTGCATGGTGGAAGGAAACCGAAGGAAACCGGACACATCCGGACACCAGATCAGATCGGAAAGGACTTGTGTTTCCCATGTTTTCCCCATGTTTTCCCCATGTTTTCCCCATGTTTTCCCCAGAGGAAGTTTTTTGGCAGGTGCTCCGGGAGAGGATCATGGCAGCCTTGACCCAAGTGGAGTGCAGCGAAACTGGCGACAAGGCCGAATGGCCAGTTATGGCCTCATTGTATCTGTGGAAATCAGTCCGAAAATGGGAGGTCATTGACCAAATTATGAAATGATATGTTTTAAACAATTTGAACAACCAAAAATGAAAGATGGAAGCACTGAAATGGGGGAATGGAGGATAGAAAACCAACCAACGTGGAGAATTTGATCAGCAAGAAGCAGGCATTGAAGCAACAACAACTCAGATATTGGATGTTACCCCACCCAAGACCGACAAAACTGGTGACAATGGTGTTTTCACCATTCTATCATAGATAGAACCAATCAGTGATGTAGCTATACCGGTAATTGAAATAAAACTAGCGGGGATGCAGGCATAATGTATTATAATGTACAAACATGTACAAACAATCAGCAATGAATATTCATGGGTGTTAGACAGGAGTGGAAACCCTGTTTCAAGGTAAACCATGTCTTCTTGGTTGTTGGAGGTGTAAATGTGTTTTGCCTTGGGAACTACCAAAATCCCACGTATGATTGGTCATTTCTTCCTATTTCATGTGGTTTTAGGTTATAGGTTATAAGATGTTATAAGTTTTAAGTATACATCCCAATGGGTGAAACATCCAAACATGCCAATCATAATGTTTCCATTGACATGGTTCGAATTAGATATGGGATATATGTACATATATATATATATAATGGTTTTACAACTTAACGAACAACGACTTGAACGACTTGATTTGTTGCGAAAGAGGCTCCTCTGAGTACCGCACGAAGTGCTTCTGTGGAAGATGAAGTGGACCTGACTCAGACGTCGGGAGTCCAAAGAAGTCCCAAGTCCAATCCAACAAGTCCACGGCTCAACGATGCCAGTAGAATATGGAAGAACTATGGTTGAAGTATGGTGGAAATAAAAAGAATTTATATAGAGTTTCTCAGGATTGTTTGGGGATACCTATGGATACCTTAGTTTAGACTAAACCACCAGCTCTTGAGAAGGGAAACCATCGGAAAACACGTTTTTTCTCCCGGAGTCACACGATGAAGTTGGCATCAATTGTGGGTAGATGGATTATAGATGGGTGTTATAGTTTCTAAAATCAGACCAGATCAGTGTGATCCAGTTTGGTGAATTAGACCAGTTATGACCAGTTATGACTTTTTAGTTGCGTTATACATTACTCCCGCAGGTTACATCATTACATCACTTTGATGACAAAGCCAAAGGTCACATGCTTCAAGTTGCAACCCTTCTCAGTTGGCAAAGGTTAGGAAAATGTGGTGGGAAATCATCCATCTATTTCCACGGATGATTTTCCCACATAAATTTCCCAGCATGCCATGGCCATCATTGCCAAAGGCGATCATCCGATATGGTGAAGTCCCACGACATAACTACTACAGTACCAGATACTAACAGAGACCAGCAGATACTATGGCTTGAAGAGGATCGATCTTTTGATACCGATTGATACTGATCCTCGTTGCTTCCCCGAGGCTGAAGTTTGGCACGGATTTGACGCAGGCGGCACGCGAGGGGCGTTTGGACCCCTTAGTGGGTCTAGGCACTCAGGGCACTCAAGGCACTCAGGGCATGGGGGGATGGGGGTGGCACCATCCCCGGAAACGATTCACTTCGATTCACTTCGCTGAGGCCGCAACGACGAGCTGCAGCGCACCATCCGCATCCTGGGCCGACGGACCAAGAACAACCCGGTGCTCATCGGAGAGGCACCACGACGTTTCCATCAATGGGCTACCCCAAAAAATGGATGGTTGAATAAGTTGAATATCATAGAATCTAGGGCTACCCCCATGACTTAGGAAGCCTTCCAAAGTGGCCATTTTGATAAATCCGAAAATTGCACATTAAATTGTTTGATCTCAGTTGAAAGAGTGCACTTGCAAAGATTCAGAGGAACACAAGATCCTTTTCAGCTGCCTGGTGCCTTGACAGCTCGGAATATCAATCTTTTTCTGCCATCCGGATGGCCTAGGGGTATAATGGGATACTGATATCGATTCAAGTATGGATATGTGTCAAATGGCTATATAATTTACATGAACAGGATTTGAATAGGTAAAAGCATGATCAATCTGTGGATGGAGTCGGGTGCATTGTCAGACGAAGCCATTCTGGAAATCGTTGTGCATATTGAACTGACCTACAATTTATAACCCAAATGAGGAACAATATTCAAATCATGAAGCATCTCACAATTTGATTCTTTGTAGGGTGCAAATCTCACCTTTTTTGCAATATGTTTGTTGATCCCACATCTCAAACATGTTTCCGCACGTGGGAATATTCAGACATCAAGGTGGCTCAATTTCTTCCATTTCACCTGATTTCACCTGCAATGCCAGGCAGGCGTTGGGAAGACCTCTATCGTACGCTGGCCCCAGAGATCTGCCATGGTTCATTCATTACTGCAAAATCAATGTTCCATCCTTGTTTTCAGCTGATGTTTTTTTATGTTGGAATTATCGCTGCTCGCAAAAAAAAAACAGCTGAGCCATACGGATTGTCAGTCCTGGGCCTGGGTAACACTGTTGGTTGCACAAATTCATCGTGGCGTCATAGGTTTCCTCATTGAATCCAACAAGTCAAGAGTTGGTCATGCATATAATCTGAAAACTGATCTATCTTGAAACAATCAGACCGTTCCTTCATCTTGCAGAAGTTCATGATGCAGATTGAATCTGAAATATCTGAAATTGAAAAAATAGATGCCATTGACCTCAGATTTCAATGGCATCTATTGATAATGGCATTTTTTTTGGTCATTAAGGGTTGATTTCAATGACCTCAGCAGGCTCTGGGCCTTGCACAGCTGATCGCGGAGGGCAAAGTCCCCTTGAACTTACAGGAGCTGGGGCGCAGATGGCTGGGGTCGCTGGAGATGGGTCTGAGGTTTTGTAGAAAACCTATCATCTTCCCTATGATGTTCCATAGTTACCATAGTTTTACGGATTTTACATGATTTTACCCATCAAGAATTGAGGTTTTCACGGTTAACCATGGTTAACCCAACCAAAATTAGAGATTTAAACAGCAAATTCAAGAATTGTGTGTTCAGCGAATTGAGGGTGAATGTTCACATCACCCTGAAAAGTTGTCCATGTTTCGACCCACGGGACCCTATGGATCCTATGGATTGGCTTATGAATATAGAGATCAGCGGTGTACCACCGCGAACTGACCCATGTGGAATCGAGAAGCGGTGTACCCTGCGTAGCTGGGCATATCTCTTGCTGGGTTTGTTCTACCAAATGACTTGTTCTACCAAATTAGTCAGGATCTTTTGGCCAAAAGGGAGCTACATGTTTTCATGACATTTCATGTTCATTGTGCAGGACAAGAAAGTCCACATCTCAGAACTCTTTGTGCAGCTGGTTTGTGAAGGTTGACGGTGTCAAGTACTCTTGACTTCTTTAGAGACAAAAACGGAATCCTTTTTTTCCGCGCGTGTGTTCGCTCCCAAATGAAGAAGATGTGTATTGTTTGCCATCCTCATCAGATGTGTTGCCTGAACTACTCAACAGTTGGGATGAATAGCGTTGATGAGCTTGTGCAAATGAAGTTTCACATGACTTGTGTAATTATCCCTATTTCTCTTGGTGCGGCTTCTTAGATTTGTGCAAAGCAAAACAGGGTACTGCAAATGGATATGATATGGTACAGTATGTATTCAAAGTTACCTCTGTAGGTGTGAAAATGGATATATACAAAATCTGATGTAATTTAAATCTGATCTGATATCATCTCTCTATTCGTATACAGATATGTAAATTGATGGATTGATGGGATCTCTGATATAATATTATATAAATATATATTGATTGGCAAAGTTGTGAGCATTGCATGGCCGCGGCGACAGCTACAGTGTGCCAGAGCCAATTATATATCTATCTATCTATGGATGCTGTTTGGTTGTTAATTGACAGGTGCTGGTTTTGCTCCATGAAACGAGATCTGTTTGGTGATTCACCTTGGGTGAAGGTTAAGCCGGTTAAGCCATCAGGTGAATTGATTTCTACATACTTATAGTACATGGATAAGAACACTTATAGTCTAATAGTATCATAAGTATGTAGAAATAGATATTCTACATTTGATAACCATTGATAATAAAATACTATACTTCTATTATAATAATACATGGCACGATTCGACGATGGCCATAGGATCACAGAATACATACAATGAACAACAACGGCATGTATTGATATAGAAACAGATACTTCCCTAAATAAAAAGACACCAATAATCAAAAAAGAAATAACATGTATACCTGTTGATATTTGACATATAACATCAGTTTATCACATCAAATACAGTTTACATATATATATATTATTATTATTATATAGAGTACATATAGTATAAACATCCAAAAAGAGATAGCTGGCACTCCTCCAGGTGGTTCAGCTGGACTTGGCTTTGCTCTTGGCTGGCACTCGCTACCGAGGGGACTTCGAGGCCGTTCGTTTCGTGGTGAGTTTCCACGGCGGTTTCACCGGCAAAAATCGCTGGTTTTGGCGGTGATGACTACTGAAAAGTGATGCGAAAACCATGGTAAACTCATCATATCATCTATGAATATCTATGATATAGGTGTTTTTTAGATATCAGAATAATAAGATCCAATTGATGTTGGCCATTGATGAAGGTTCTGAAACCCGGAGGAAATTGCTTTAAAGACATAGGTCAATATGGTATAATAATATGGTATAACGATGCAATTTCTTCCCTTATGGATGATGAATCCATGGATAGCATATGAATGTGAGTTTCATTGAGGAAAAACATGTTTCAGCACTTCACCAAACATGAATTAACAACATGTCCCTTTTCGTAGCGAGAAAACCATCGAAAGTCGGTTTTGCGCCACAGAAATATTGCGGCTGTCCATCGGCAGATGATTCACCCTTTGGGTGTCCCCCCAAGGATTAACATGAACCAGGATAACATCTCAATTGTAGGTATAGTCAGCATGCATAATGTTTTTTCAGCATTAGATTGTAACTGTCTGATTTTTAATGTTTAAAAGATCTTAAAAGAAATTGTTTTAATAGTTAAATCCCAATGGTTTGATCATTTTTTTCACCAAAATCCCATGGTCCCCACGTTGCGCTTGCGCGCTCGGCAGGAGCGCTTGCGCGCCGTGGTCAAGGAGGTGTCTGAGAGCCGACGGCGAGTGATCTTGGTGGTGGATGAGGTGCGCGGCGCTGCGGAGACGGCCCAACGGCCCAACGGATCGAATCTGATGGATGTGGAAAATTTGGAAAACTTGGATCGAATTTTGATATGGAAACTGCCATCCTTTAAAGCCATTTTCATAATTTGATAATTTTGATATGGAAAAAATCCATGAATCACATTGGATCCATTGGATCCATTGGATCCCATTGGATCCATTGGCCCACTGGATGGCTGTCAGAAATGGCGTTGGGACCGCCGTGGCTTTTTGGGCTCAGTGCACCACGCTGCAGCCTCATGACCAACCTCCTGAAAGACATATGGAAAGCACCAAGTGGCCAACAAAACAGGAGATCCAAACACATCAAGGACAGAAGACCTTGCAAAGTGATAAGTATTATGATGAAATTAGAGATGAAATATGTGATGAATTGATGGGTACGAGTAGTGCATTACATGGATTTTGGGTCTTTACGCTTGTCATGAGCAACGTATCACTTCAATTTCTCTACCAAGCAAATGCTTCGAGCGCATTGGAGCGGTAATTCATGTTTTATTTTGCATGGTAAGTGCAGAAAAAGACATCAGTTTGAGGCTGACAGTGTTTGGTGGCGCCCATGGCTCAATGCTACACGAAAGATGGTGGCTTCGACTGGGAGAAATACAAGAAATTGGTGAAAGGCATCAACATCTTGACCTATGATCCACCACAAAAGAAACCCGCGTACGTGAAAAAGTTGCGCAATGTGAATCTCTTCACGCCCAGATCACCGTACTTTCATGGTTTCCCATGCTGTGTGTCCGAGGCTATGAGATGTTATGTGCGACAGAAATACGGCTACGAGATGCAAGATGTGTATCTCTCAAATCCAGATGAGTGGTTTCTAAAGATGTTGGAAGCACCAAAAGATGGAGATTTCTGTCCAGATTTCCTCCGTGGAATCTGGTGGATGCAAGACAACATCGCCAATGAGACGGTGGTATCCTTAGAATCTGCCCATTGGGGCAGACCAGATGGCCCCAATCCGGAAGTTGGCATGAAACACGCCCCCCGGAGCTTTCAGAAATCTTTTTTTTAGGGATTTGTTAAGGTTCTCTTGTGTAGATGTCCATTGGGTAATGTTATCCATGTAAAAATCACCCAGAAATGACAAATCCACTCAGAATAGTTCTTGAATTTGATGGTTTTTTGGGCCACAGGGCCAAAAAAGCCACAGCGTCAGGCCTTGAAGAATTGGACCACAGGAAACGGTTTGCTGGGCACTGTGATCATGAACATCAAGCGTGATGCCTGGCCATGTCTCCGGATTTCGCCGGATCGGAAGTGGATCGCCTTTTCAGCCCACGACTACATCTACCTGTTGGATGAAACGGATAAGTTGAAGGATCCCCAAGGGAACCCCGTGCCCTTCCGTGTGGGCGACGATTTCCTCCGAATCTCCTGGCGAGATGGAGATCCTTTGAAGGGCATCGATTATCAGTACCTTCTCAGGAGAGTTGCCTATAAAGATGCTCAGTACGGTCATTCAGATTTCTATATATATATACATGTTTTTCTGATATATGTCCCTGACTCTTTACAAATCAAATGAATTTTGCTGATCATCGCCAGCTGTTCCTATGTTTCCCCGTTTGACTCGCTTGACGTATTTGGTTGCTATTTTCCCACCAAAAATCGGTAGCAGGATGCCTCAATGACGGAGAAAATTAGTGTTTCATGATGGATACTTCAAGCACCAATCAGGATGGCGATGGGAAGCTTCAGAAGACGCCAACCTATGAGAAGCTGCTGGAAAGAGCCACCAGACCAACGAAACCCATGGGAGCCCTGCACTGAGATAACTTGTTCATGTTGGGAAAAAAAACACCAAACATGAGGCATAGGGCCTGCAAGGGTTTATAATTGTTATATATATATATATTTATGCTGTTGTATGCTGTTGTATGCTGTTTTGTTGTTGAAGATCAGCCCCAGGAGCTTGTTTCAACTACTACCTTTGCAACATTTCGGATGAGGACTATGGCTCCATCTATGATGCCCTGGACGATCATCAGATTTTGATCCCCGGGCCCGAAGTAGATCTGCCATGGAGCCCCGATGATCCGAACAGTGAAGTTCCGGTCTTGAAGTCCATTAAGTGGAGCCTTTAAGGCTGTGTCGACTGGTTATGCCTGAGAATCCCATCCCCCAATCTCCCCCAATTGTTTCCAGATATGGGAAGAACCAAAGTTGGGAACCAATGCAATGGCAAAGAAATGAAATCCAATATGAAACCCTGGGGGTGCACTGCGGGAAGGGATTAATTCTTCTCTAGATTCAGGATTTTTGCAGGGCTTTAGTCATTTTCACATCCGACTTTGGCTCTAGTCATTTTCACATCCGATTTTGCTGTGGCAGTCAGCCAAATCTGTTCTCCGCAAGCAAGCCAAGCATTGAGGAAAAACTCAGGAAAAATCGCCAACCATGCAGCCTTGGTCAAGTGAGCGCTTTTCCTCACTTCCATTCTCTACACGAAATGAGGCCCTCAATGCTTCAGTATCTATGGGCTGAATGTGTGTCGAAAGCACGAGCTAAAATCCGATTGCCATCTCTGGGCCAAATATCAGTTGTTCATGAGCGCAAAAGCACCTATGGGCTAAACCTCAATTTCTGGTCTCAATCAAATCGGATTTTAATCGGTCAAAATCCAAAATTATGAAAACCTCAGGGCTTTTCGACACGTTTTCGACACGTTGCGAGCACCGAGTGGTCGCACGAGGTTCATACCTTGGTCGGTGCCGGGAGCGGAGGTGATTCTGGTGGTGGAATGGATGCCGTGGCTCGGCGAATGGCAAAGATGGGGATAACATGGGATAACTTGACGCCTTTTTAACAGACATGATCAGTACACACAAATATATATCATATATAATATATATATATATATATTATATATCACATATATATTATATATATATATGTGTATCATATGGTATAGTGTGACGTGTGTGTTATATTGTGTTATAACTTATAACGTTGAAAGCTGATGGATATTTCGAGATGGGCTTATAGTGGGTATTTGGATGTGTAAATCCATCAGAGATGTTCAGCCTGATGGCCGGTTGGATGGCTTTGGGACGTAAAAAACGATTGGTTCAAAACCAACAAAAGATGATATCACCCGGAAATGATGGTAGAAGATATGGGTTGATGGTATAAATTTATTTAAAATCATGGTTTCACAGGAAAGACGTTGACCCCGGAAACCATGAGATATAGTGGAGATATCAACAATTGACAGGGCCTGATAGGCCGGTAGACTCCACCCGTGAAAATAAGCCACCACCCCCTCCGAATCATCAGCAAGAGAATTCACCATTAATCAAGTCCCCAAAGTCTCCAAAGCCAGCCATCTAATGAATCTTTATAGCAATGGAACTTAAACACATTCACATGTTACAATGTTTCGTTAATGTATGTTAATGTTAGTTTCAGTCCAGAAAAGAAGAAATAGTGCATGATTCTGCATTGACCAAGGCCAATCTGTTGAAGCCAGCACTGGCCCGGGGTGAGTTGCAGTGTATTGGCGCCACCACCTTGGATGAGTATCGCAAGTACATTGAGAAGGACCGGACAAAAAAAACAATTCGGAAATCATGGGAACATCTGTGGAAAAGCCACGAAAGATAGATGATTTCCATGATTTCCATGGTGTTTTCTATGTTTCCATGGTTCATGGGATCAAGTTCTTAACAGTATGGCAAAAGACAGCTTTTGGAGCTGGGGCCAAGGCCCCGGGAAGGACTTCGGAGATTGGATTCCTATGGTTAAATGTGGCAGAAACACAGGGTGCTTCACTGAGTTACCTTAATATAGATGATATAGATCAATAGAGCTAGATTGTATAAATGTTGTATAAATGGAAATCCAATTAATCATCCAATTTAGACAAAACATGCTGAGAATGATGAGAAATGGAATCCAACTGGGGATAGGATTCAGCATCCCACGAAACTATGATTTTTACTGCCACTGAAAAAGATGGTCCAGGCTTTTGCTCAGCTCAAGGGAGAAATATTAGGTGGAGATAGGGTTTTAAATGAGAGATATAACAGATATATATATATATATATTATCATATATATATACATATATATATATATTATATCAGATATATATCAGATATGCCATCCAAGCGGAAAACTGGGAAACATGCAGGGGATACCCAGATGTTGCAAAAGGTTCTGTTGGCCATTTTTCAAAATACCAGGCATTAAGCGATCCAATTTCGATCAGAGAATGATCCAGTATGATCCAGTCAGAATGGAGAGATGCCATCCAAAATATCCAATACGTGAGCTGCGCTCCAGCAAAGGCAATAGGAAAATCCACTAAAAATGGATGTTTTCAATGGGAAAATCCACTAAAAATGGAGGATTTTCCAAGCCACGTTTGATTCCGGAGTTCGACAGGACCCAGCCCTGGAGCGTCGCTTTCAACCTGTTGGGGATGCCCTGGGAATCTGGCGAACGCTGGAAGAAAATGGTGTTTTAATGGGATTCAATGGTGATTCAATGGCATTTAATGGGATTTGATGGGATATATGATGATATACCCTCTGGTAAACTAACATAGCTATGGAAAATCACCATTTTTCATGGGGAAAATTCACTATAAATGAAAATTTTCAATAGCTATGTTAATTTACCAGAGGGTAACTCTCTTAACTTCGAAAAATGGGAAGTTTTAATGATATGTAAGGAGATATCAATTTGAATGATGATCTGATAATATATGAAGTGTGTCACTATGAAATTCAATGGATCACTCTTGCTTATTATATATGATTATCGCTGGCATATGTTGTCAGGGGAACCCTTTTGGGGTCTTGGATTGTCTCGGACAAACTTAGTGTGGCAATTCCGCCTTTCTACGATCTTGCATTGTTGTACGACGTACGAAGTTCCACTTATCTTACAAATCCTGCACGGCATTCTTAGAATGATCATGGCAATATATGGCAATTTCCATAGATTTTGAGACATCTGAAACTCAAAAATTGGATAAAAAACAGCCCTGTGACAACCTGTGACAGATTCAGCACCCATTCGGCAGATCTCAGGTCACTGTGCCCGAGCCCAGTGAAGACGAATCCGTGGCTCGTGCCCAGTGATGGGATGATGGGAATGATGGTGATGATGAGTGGGTATCGACAATCCGATCATTATGTGTGTAATTATATATATATATCGATAGTTATGTCTATATTCTATAATATATATATGTATATATATATATAACCAGCAATGTGATTCTATATGTTAGATTTTTGGTGTAATTTGAAAATGAGGGATTCAAAGCCCCTTGAAATCAACTAGAAATCATTTACAAACATTTATAAACTATTGGATTTTAGAGGTGCCCCTAATGTCTGACAAACCCAAAATGGTATGATGTTTATCTACCATCCCAGCTAATATATGTGGTACTACAATGGTTGTAAGAGAATGAATCATAATTGGAATGTTAGAAAATGGTTAGTAACTGGATGACAGTTGGGATATCATGGATCACTGGATTATGAGGGGCATGGGAGGAAAATTCCTCCCGGGGATGTTAGATGTTACCAATGGAGATAGGGTGGGTGGCCAACATTGCCAACATGACTGAAGACTAGAATTGGCATAGATCAAGTGAAGTGATGTACTGTACGCCTATTTTTTCAGCATGTCCCAATGTCACTAATCAATGAACACCAACATGGGCATATGCCGCGTAGATCATGTTGAGAAAGAAACTCCAGGATTCATCCCCAGTTCACCATGTTGTACCCACCCCAAAAGTTTCCTTAAATCCATTGATAATCCATTGATAATCCATTGATGAATCATCATTTTCCCCATAAAAAAAAAAGAAACATCCCATTGGCAAAAATCCCATCCATTTTGTTGGAGAATCCCTCCATTTTTCCCACAGCATTCCTAGGTTCAGATCCTAAAAGGCCTGGCGCCAAAGTATGAACGGCACCATCAGTTGCAGTACGCCCCAGAGGCTCCGAAAACATCCCGGGCCGTGTTGCAGTACGCCCTGGAGGATATGTCAGAAGAGTCAGTTAAGTAGATATGTTTTCCATAGATATTCAATCTGATATTCAAAATCTAAAAAAAATGGCAATCAAAAATCAGCATGATGATCATTAACCACAAAAAAATAGGGATTCTACTTTTATGCTGATCATTATGATCCATGATGATCATGCACCAAAAAAAAAACAGACTTGAAATCTCCATGGCATCCCTTCCGACGCCGTGTTTCGAGGCGCTGGAGGCGTGCGTGAAGCTGGCGAACCAATTCATCGCTGACCGATGTTTGCCCGACAAGGTGAGGGCCTTTTTGTTGGGCCTTTTTCGACTGGAGTCACTGGAGATGTCCCTTTTGGAGTGGCCTTGTTGTAACTTATAGTTCCATGAGAGTTCCATGAGATTTCCATGTTGGTGGGGGATGAATCGAAGTAAAAAGACTAATCAGCTACTTCTGGTGGAACAGTAAGATGTCAGATGTTGGGGCTGGATGTGTTTGACTCCAAAACAGGCCCCAAAATTTGAAATGGATCCCCTATTTTCAGAAGTGGATTTGTTCCACTATAAAGAGTATATAAAGAGTCATCTTTCAAACATCTTCAAAACCATGTTTGTCAGCGTTTAACTCAGTTTTCAGAGTTTTCAGGCGTGATTCCGCTGAAAGTCAGCGTACGTTGCATGTCGAGGCCATTGATGTCATGGATGAAGCTGGCTCCAAGGCCTGATCAGGAATTCCGAAAATGTGACACGGTGGGAAAAAAAAACAGATGGACTCAGGGTGAAGGTTATGGATGTGGATCAATACCTATTAATACCAGTTTTACTGGGATGAATATCCATTTACCAGCTATTTTGATGTGAACTACAGGGGGATAGGGTTTTGACCCATCCTCATATGGATGATCATGGATTTGCAAGGATGTACCATACATATCCCCATACATTTTTTTTTGCGTTTCCCCGTAGTGTGGTAAAGCATTGTAATTTTATGGAAAATCAATTAATGTTTATGTTCTCCTCCACTTCTGTCAAGCCATAAACCACATATATACATTTACCATTTAATCGATGTTTTGTATGTTCGAATTGTGATTTTGGGGGCATACCCCATGTTGAAGGAAAACCCACATCATAGTGTTGGTTCTAGCTAATTATATATACATACAGATATTCCATGGAATATCATTTTTTTCATCATAGTCTCCTCCTCCTCCCGGCATCAGTTTCAGCAGGTGCGGCAACAGCTTTTTGAAGCAGCAGAAGAGTCGCACAATGCCGCGGAACGATGGGCGGCAGGCGGAGTTTTCCAGTAGAAGCAATGGTATTTGGGATGGGACAAGATTGGATGCTCAATATTGGATGGTTGAAGATTCCCATGGTCTTAGATTGAGACTCCTCTGTGCTGATGTGCAGAACCAAAGTTTTTTCACACAGGTCGTGAGTTGAAGGAAGTGATCGAACAGAAAAAAGTGGCTGTGAACTCTGAACGCTACGACGAGGTGGAAATTTCCGTTGCAGGGATTGATGTGGATGTTGCGGGATGATAAACAGGGGAACATCACCATCAAATACCATCAACATTCCTACGGTAGAAGTCCCTTCCCCAATCTTCCCCACAGCTAGAATCGTGGTGGAATATACTGAATCTACTACAGTTCCTTTCTGGGGATTAAAATCCTTGAGATTAAAATTGGCATACAGCTTCTCTGAGAATATAAAAGGTACCCCAGAAACCATAAACCATGGTTTCAAATACTTATTTTCCGCAAAATTGGTGCTAAGTCCCATACATTTTCGGACACCCATTTTTGGTGGTTAGATTATTGGTTGCTTAAGAACATCGCAATTCACAATTGGAGAAGAGAGATGAACGCTATAAGCTTTCTTGTGTCAAGCTCGGCAAGGCAGCTCAGTTGAAGCGTCGTGAAGATGAATTAGAAGATCGCTTGGCGAGGCCGCAATGGATAGCAATGGATAGCAATGGATGGGAATCGAAGCTGGCTGGGTGCCCAAAAAAAGCCATGAATTGGGCATCCCACAAAGTCATATCATACATGTTGCTCTGTATGTTCCAATATATATCCTTGAAATTATTACTCCCATCGCTTACAGTAATCCATAGCCATGTTTTTTGTGGTTAAAGTTCCCCAGATTCTTGGGAATTCACGACAACCTCCAGTGGGTCAAAATCCTACAGGCTGCAGAGCAGCCCCGAGAATCAAGACCCTCAAGGACTTTTGAAGGAGCGTCATTGCTGTGAAGCTGTCTGAATTTTGGTCTTAGCTGCGTGTTTTTTTCACCCACAAAGATCATAGTTCAACGGTTCAACGACCATTTAGAGTATTTAGATGGGGAGGTTTAACCATGTTTAACCTATATGCATTGCATCATCTGTACTTCTGATGAGTGGCTTCAAATGTCACTTCGAAAAGTAAAGCCACTTTCGAAGGAACTGCAGAGTCTGGGGCAGCAGATTCGAGAAGCGTGGAGCTGAGTGGAATCTCCTCAGGAAATCGGAGAAATCCGTCATCGGAAATGGTCGGATTGATTCTCGGTGTCCTTTACAGTGTGGCTCACAACTTGGCAAGTATCCAGTATCCCGAAAATGCGAGGTATTGAGGTATTGCAATTTCGAAGCATACTCACTTGAGATCATTTCATTCAAATTCTAACTAACTCTAGCTTTTGGTGATTCCAAACATGCAATGACACATTCATCTCAGTACTACTCAGTACTCCATGTTTTCTACACGAAAGGGGAGTCGACTCCAAGGCAGTCACTGCCGAGCGCTTCGCAGAAGCGCAGGAATTGAAGATGCGGGAGAGGGAGGCCCGGCATGGCCGCGGCATGCTATATCCATGGTAACTTCTCCATGAGCTAATGATGTACGATAATGGTTCATGAGCATATCACTAAACTATACTATCAATAATATGAGTAGAGTACTGATATTGGTCTAATTTAGGTCTTTACTATATAACAATATAAATATGGCTAGAGTCGATCTATTAGCATTCTTATTGTTAACAGTCAGTTAATACCATAATCTACCAATTATGATACATTAGCCAGTGTAGGTAAACGTAAAGATTCCTCCTAGATTAAAGATAACGTTTATCATCCAAAAGACTCAATAGTACTGTCAATCAGGCAATTAGTATATCACTAAACTATTATTATGCAAAATGATAGCAGCATAGCCACTCTTTCTCTTAGATTGACGAATCACCATTACCAACAGGTGGTTCATCAATATTTAACCATAACTATAGTATAACCATTGCTATTATAATAGCATACCCGTCATTGGTACCATTGATCATTACGAGATTAGAAAGTATAGTATAACATAGTATAACCATCTTAGTAATAGTGATTAATAGTGTAGCCACTATGAATAATATAGGTTATACTATACTAATACTACTATACTATACTATACTATCCTATACTATACTATACTAACCTATTAAGAATATTAAGATAACCTATAATAATATACTATAATAAAGCCATTGACCAGGATGATAATACCAGGTGGCCGCGCTCCTGGAGAAGACGGGCGTCACCAGCGAGGCACGCCGCAAGGTCACCCCGGAGGACGTGGCGCAGGCGAAACGCTTGGGGTGGAAATGTTTGGAATGATTATTGGGATGATATGAGTCAATGGCTTATAGTTTATAATTATTGATTATTATGGTTATCTTGATCAATGATGACTATCTTGATCAATGGGAATTCCAGGATCCCATTTACTGTACCATATAAGGCCATATTTTCTGGGGATATTCATAATAATTGGAATGATATCCATAATAATTATGATCAATAATTATGGAATCAATGATTATTGGGATAAACATATAATCATTAAGAATGATAACCATTGGCTATTGGGATAAGCATCATGATTAGTAATGATAACCATTGACTATTGATTATTGGGATATAATGACAATGATAATTCCAAACCATCATAATCATTAATTATTATCATAATCATTAATAATGATAACCATTGACTATTCGGGATAGTTATGGATAGTTGGAATCCGAAGATCATTGTTTCTCCCAAATTTTCGGATCGGATGATCATGGATTACCATACTTCAATGGGAGGCCAGGCCACTAGTGTGGTAACCACGATAGTAAGTGCAGACAGAGCATTGTGGTCGGTTTAGAACGGTCACATGTGTTTGAAAAAGATTGGTTTTTAAAGAAACCGTTCGCTTCTCACATGCCAGTAGTTCTTGGAAGCCTCAAAACATCCACTCAAAACATCCATGGTTTCTGAAGACCCAAAGCTGCCCAAAAAAAATAACGGATCAACATTTTGGTGCTCACCATGGGAAATGTGCATCCCAAGCAGACTGTGGGGCAGGTGGTTTCAGGATGGACGGGCATCGCTGTGGAGCAGGCTGGGAGCATCCAGCAATGTGTTGCATATCTAAACCCCCAGACGATCGTTCTTCTCAAGATATGATATGATACTATATTGTATTTTAATGTATTTTATACATATAGACATAACTCCCATTTTAAATTTTGTTTACTATTTATTATACAAATTATGTGTGTATATATATATATATCTGTGTGTGTGTATGTCTACAGGCACTACATCCCCATCATTGGCGATTCCCACCTGCGAGCGGAGGTCAGTGCCAGCGAATCCGCCAGGCTTTTGCACCTGGAGAAGGACGGCAATTTTGTGCGGTAAACATGTTTGACAGGTAAGAACTTATAGAAAATAATAATGTTTATATAGTAATATGATATATATATAGAACTAATAATAATGTACTAATCATATAGAAATGTACTAATCTTATAGAAGTTCTATGGTATAAATATGTACTTAGAATATGACAGGAATTGATTAGATGATATAAATATGACTTATAGAAAATAATGATTAGTAATATGATTAGTAATATGATTAGTACATATGATTAGTACATATTTATACCATCTAATAATGATTAAGACAAGCTAATACCCAAGATCGAGGTGAGTGCCAAGATCGTAAAAAACTAGTTATGCGAAATAGTTATACGTCATTTTTACCTAATAACTAGCAACATGAACTAGTAACGAATAACAAAAGTGCTACTATGAACATTATTATGAGGTAATAGTCATGGCCATGGCAACAGGGGTTGGAAGATGAGTTTGCCAGGAGCTCCACGAGTCCATCATCGGGCAAGATGAGGTCGGTTCATCAGCTGATGGATAACACCATGGATAACACCATTATCATTTGAGGAAATTGATGATAAAGATGGGGTTGGTGATGATGATGATGATGATGATGATCATGATCATGTGGATGCTATTCTTGACTTTCCCGAGATGAGAATCCATGTTGTACTTGGGCGAATCCAATCTCAGAAAACCATATGAAAACAGGCCGTGGGCAGCGTCTCCCGTGCATTGCGCCGGGCGCGCGCGGGGCTGCGGAATCCGCGGCGACCCATGGCAGGGTCTGGGGCACCCAATGGGGCCGAAGGGGCCTGGCCGGGTGAGAGGAGCTGGGTAAAGTTGCGTTTTTTCTGCTGGCAGATAGGAGGTTTGCGTTTTTTGTACGATAAATGGTTGATCTTATTGTCATGTTTTTTGTTCACTGCTGATGGTCAGTAAGGAAAATCATCACAAGAATGGGGTTATTTCTGATTTAGGAAGTTTTGAAATTCCCTCAAAATGTTTGGTGGCAGATTTTCAAGTGGGGCAAGATTTGATTCTGTCAAAATTGATATTTTGGGGATGGGTGAAGAATGTGGCGGGACGTTCTGGTCATTGGTTCTCACCAAGAGTTGATTCATGTGGGGACTCAACATTGCTACTTGGGCTGCGGACAGGTCGAACATGTCACCAACAGAAATGCAAATTTTGCCAACAGAAAGATGACCGTTGGAGGGTTTGATATGTATTATATATATACATACAGAGAGAGAGAGAGAAAATATGTTATGTTTATATGTTATATGCTATATGTGGTAGTTTGATAATTTATACTCAGCATGAGAAAAATGTGTTGTTTTCTCTTTCTTGCCTTTTGACCTTGGGCTATTCCCGTAGCGGACCATTTCCGTCACGCCAAGGTTCATGTTCTGCGGGCCAACCGGTGTGGGCAAGACGGCTTTGTGCAAGACGCTCTCGAAGACCTTCTTTGGAACTGAGGACTGCAGATGGGAATGGCACTTTTTTTAAACAAAACTATGGAAAACCACAAAATCTGATTCCAAAATCCAGTGGTACTAGCAATGGGGGATGTGCACCAGCAACAATGGTTACTCATTTTTTGGGAGGTCAATACCTATGGGACCATGTACATGATTGAACATGGTGTAAGCAGCCATTTTGGTATGAAAACCAGGGTGCCCAGTTCACTCCTATGCAACCAATATCACCAGAGATCAACACTTCGAACATGCTGATTCTCTTGTTTCTGTTTCTGGATTTTTTGGACCTGATCCCTGATCCTTGGTGACTTTTTCTTGGTGCAACTCCACCAGGACACGATGATCAGATTAGATATGAGCGAGTTCATGGAGAAGCACACGGATCCTCAACCGACAGGGGATGTTGGAATATTTGGAATCGTCAAACCATCAAATGCCAAAAAGAACATGGGTTCATCATGTTTGATCCTAAACTTATAGCTGGTGTTAGCAAAATGTGTGGTCCACCAGCCGAGCACATAATCGATGGGTTCAAATACAAATTGACGATGGGTTGGTTGACCGACATCGTGGACTTTCCAGGTGATGTTCCTGCACCGTTTTAGGTTGGTTGTATTCAAACATGAACAAAAAAACGTGGAAATCAGTGTTGGCTAAATGAACAATATATGAATATATGATACCCTCCAGTAAATTAACATAGACCCTGCCAGATAGGGGTTGGAAGATTAGTTTCCATTAAAAATAGGTAATTTTCAGGGTCTATGTTTATTTACCAGAGGGTAATATAATTAATATGAATAGTCCATTAAAAATTACGGGGAATGTTATATTATGTGTCCAAAAGATATACCACAACATTAAAAAATGTTGAACGTATTCATGGAAATGTTGGAGTAATTGGAAATCTATTGAACAAAGACGACTAATGTGTAAACAATATTAAACAATATATTAATATGTGTTTCATGAATATGATCATGATATGGATATTATATAATTAAGATCATATAATATCATCACTATCCATGGGTAATGGCTATTATATTCCCATAAAGTTGGTAAAAACAATGCCATAAACCATTTCCCAGTCATCACCATTTTTTTTTCGGTGTGTTTATCATTCCCATGGGCTGAGGTGTCCAAGCTCATCGGAGCACCACCTGGCTATGTCAGCAGCCTGTTTTGGAATGCCTTGCCTTGAAGCACCATTGGGATCCATATCTCCATAAAAAGAGCCATAAATTGACATGACAATTTTCTTTTTAAGTAAGCATATCCAGTAGTTACTCAGTAGTTCATAAATGGGTATCCATTTATGATTCAAGCAGCATCGACCTATCATTTGGAATGGTGGAACAGCAACAAAAACGCCAGGTCGGCTACAACGATGGTGGCTCTCTCACCGAGGCAAAGCACTCGTCTTTCTAAAGCCAGCAGCTTGACGACGGCTGGCCGCTACTATTGTGACATCGCCAGTTGGTAACTGGCCATGAAACCACTAAACCGGTGGCCACTCGCCACCGGTTCTGACCAAATGAATTGTCAGTTGGGTTTGTACGGAACACAACTATTTATAACTCCTCTGACTATTTTGACTATTACAACTACTATGACTCCATCATAACTATGTTGAACTATTACATGTGTTATAATTGCTGATTTCCATAAGAAAATCTATAATCGTAATAACTGTTTCACCCATTACAACTATTATACGATTCTACGATTACATCTATCATAATAGCATTATATAGATGCAATCCAGTATAACTATAGTTATACTTAGGATATCATTATCTATTATAGATAACATTAATAACATTATAGATCTAGAATATAAATATAGATCTTTATTAGTATCATTATACCATTATATTATATGATTGGTAATTTGGGAATGTCAGCCGCTAGGCGGTACGACGCCGGCCATACTCCTTGGTTCTCTTCGACGAGGCGAGAGTGGCCATGTGCCAAGTGGCCAAGCGAATATTGGATAATCATATGTGTATGACAATATATGTAATTATTATGATGTATATATTATATTATATATATGTGGTCCGTATATATACGTGTATTGACAGACATATATAATGATGTAATATGTGTGTATGATTATATATATATGTACTTTTACATACATTGGGGGTTCCTGAAATGGGAAAACCCATGGTTTTGGGTACCCTAATTTTGAGAAGCCCCCATCCAATATTTAGTGTGTACCCCCATTGAGATTTCCATTTTTTTTCACTGGAAACCAGAACTAGTCAACTACAAACAAATGGGCATGATCTCAGTTGTAGCGTGTTGATCTTGTAGCGTGCTGATGAGTCTTACCTCATCGTTGGCTAGTGTACCCTCATCATGCAAATCTTGTTCCCTTTATTTATGTTGAATCATCAGATACAGCCGTGTTTAGAGTGATACATGATACATCCTGCTTACATAGAATATATAGTTGATTGGGATGGTAGGTTGATTATATAATCTTATACCTCTATGACCACCATGAAACTACTGAAATTGTGATCACCAATGGCTTCGTTCCATGATTTCGCAGTGAAAAAAAATGGTGAAACCAACAGCTCCAGAGGTCGAAAAAGCTCATCCTGACGTCTTCAACGTGCTGCTGCAGCTGTTGGACGATGGAAGGCGCTATGCCCTCTGCTATGCTCTGCTTCCGAGGTAGAAATCACTGGCATATGCAGTGGATTGATGCAACGGCGGTGAGAATGATATAGATCCTGAGAAATAAGGACTATAATTTGAATAGGTCATGGATAACATACAGTATCATACAGTTGGATATAGCCAGTGATCTATTGAATCTATGAAATCTATGAACTACCAGCCTTAATCATCTTAATCCCCCGCCAGGCTGACTGATTCCAAGGGCCGCGTGGTGTCCTTCGCCAACACCATGGTGATCATGACCTCCAACATTGGAAGCAGATCCGTCACCTGGTGGCGGCCGGCGGATGAGTCCCCCCCGATTTTTATCCATGTTTGATGTGTTGATAGGGAAAATGATGATGAAAATGAGGATGAAAATGATGAACCATCAGAATTGAGGCTACACCCTGCACGCAATGCAAATTTCATCATTGAAATGTGGTGGAAGGAGATATTCTTAATCAACATCCAGAAAAAACATGTAAGGACATCTCATCCAAAAGTTAAATCACGCAAGGAAAATTGCATTTTGGTGTGCTTGATCGCCAGTTATTTGAAAAAAAATGATCTTCCAAACCATTGGATTTTGGCGTTTCTCGCGCTTTCCATGTTTTGTCCCTGTTTCAGACAACCCCATCTGGAAGAGCTGTTCACAGCTAGGGACGATTAAAAAACCAACTACGTTGGGAGATACAAAGCCCCAGGCCTCCTTTAGGTAGCTATAAAATTATAGACCATTTGAAATCGGAGAATATAAATCCATACAAAGCCATGATAAATCAATATAAATCATATATATATATCATATATATATCATATATAAATCATATATAAATCATATATATATATATATCATTGGTTTAGCAAAAACTCGGAACCTTTTGTGAAGCCGCGAAGCCGCTAAGGTCTCCAAAAGCGCGGCTGGAACCTCCGGCCTCGGCTTCCATTCGGAGGAGTAAAAAAACCACCGGACATGTTGCTGTTTTTGGCTGATTCCGGAGATGACTGGCAATTTCTATCATTTTTAAGAGTTGGATTGGTGGTTTTTGGATGTTTTGATTCTTTGATGTCCATATTTTTCCGGAAAGCATCTCTGATGATTGGGTCGTTGAGATTTCATGTTGGGATGGTATTAAATTACCAAGTTTTGGTTTAAATTGGTGCAACATCGCCAGAATTTGACCCATCACAATGTCGCGAAACTAAAATGTGGACATATTGCCACCAACCAGAGACTTGATTGGAGTTCACTGTCACACAAAGTTTGGAAATCGTGGATGTTGTTTTTATTTGTTTTCCCTGATATTGCATGATATTGCCAAGTTTGGGACTAAAATCAGGGATGATCTCACGACAAGAGATGTCACCAGGAGGATGGTTTTGACACCTATGCGAAGGTGAAGGAAGCCGTCGACGAGGAGAATTTTACTCGAGAACAGCAAGAAAAGTGGAAACTAAATGTAGTTGCTGTGGTTAGCATGGCGATGATTAGTAGAGCAGATATGGTGATGACATGTGGATGAATCTGGCGAACCTAATACAACCCAATGCAATACACCTCCCATTCCGGATGGTTTATAGCCATTTCTCCTAAAACTGCCTAAAAACTGGTGATGTTTATTGGTTTTACCATGTTTGACCCGAGTAGTCTCCTGGTTGATAGGGATGTGGCCAAGCATGGAGAGGCTAAGCAACAAAAGCAGGTGTATAGGGAAGAATGAGAAAAAGAAGGTTGTACTCGTAGGAAAGGTTTCATTGCCACTTTCATCAACATCCACATGTTTTTTGCTTCCGATGTCCATGTCCAACAGTTGATCCAATCCAGGAGATGAAAAGCTTCTTCAGACCAGAGTTCCTCAACAGGTTGGGGACTGAAGCAACATCCTGCAGATGTTCCTGACCTCCGATGTTATTCGCTGATAAAATTTGGTCGCGGTAGAATCAATAAGAGTTACGGTGGTACTTTGGGTTAGCCGGTTGGCCATTCGAAATACGGATATTTTATGATAAAACCTATAAATGTTCAGTTTCTGTGATTCTCAGCATTTTTCATCAATGGCATATCCCTAAAGTTCCATTTCTTGATGCCCTCAACCACTGGACCAGCGGACCAGCTGATTTCCTCGCTCAGATTGGATGAAGTCATCGTGTTCCGACCCCTGAAAGAGGACGACATCCGGCAAATCGCAGAGGCATGGACCACGGTCACGGGGCCATAGGCTGCAGATTGGGTATTGACATGTATTGCTGTATTGACTATGTGTCAAACCATTTGGGTCAAAAGTCCTAGATTTGGCTTCATATTTGATGGCGAACCAGAGTAAACAGTTTCGACATGTTTCGACTATCCATGTAGAAGCCATGCAAAAAATGAGGAGGTCATCGTTCCATCTAACACAAGTCATGATGAAACACCATGAAACACCCAAGTCCTGAAGCTTTATAAATTTTGGGCAACGTGGGAAGAGAATCCCCAGGTCGAATTCAAGAAGGTCTTAGAGAGACTCTCGGACAAGGCTGGAGTGACTGGCAGTGCAGTGACTTGTTCAACGTGTTGAGCATCTCGGATGTATCCTTGGGATAAGCAAACCTTTCGCCATGTGCCATGTTCCAGTCCAACGATGAGTCAACAACTGTTACAACTGTTACGACGTGTTGCCAAATTTCGCCAGGATCTTCACATCACGTTGACGCAGAGCTTTAAGGACACCGGGCCCGGCCGACATTGCTATGACAATCCGTCTACGTATGGACGTGGTATGGACATGGTATGGGCTCAAAATGGGCTCAAAATCGGTCTCAGAATAAGTGGTCAAGATAAAAATGAGCAGCACTTGTGGCTTGGGGCGGTTCAACTTTGACCTACAACGATTCTTGGGATATCTCGGAGTGTAAAAAGCATCCTGGCTTTGGGTATGTGTTTGTTGGACAGACCCTCCGACACTCAAACATGCTCAAACATGGGTCGGGTCGACTTGGAAATACACCAATGTTTGGCATAAGATTAGGAAAACCCATGACATTATAAATGCATGCAGATGGGTGTTTTCCCATGTTTTTCCCATGGTTTCCCAAGTTTGATTACAACAACTGCAACTTTGTTTGATTTGGGAAGTCATCACTCACTCTGGATCTTCCGACCCGCTGGGCAAAGTTCAGGACCTGACCACCGTTCATCTCACCATGTTATCATCCAAAAATGGCCAACACCGCGAATCCTTTGGCAAACTGAATTGACAGAAAATTGAGCTGAATTGACATCTTGATGTATCTAAAAATATCAATGAAATTTAAATATCAAAACCAATCACCCAAGTTCAATCTGCCTCAAGGATCAAGTGCTGAAAGAAGGGTTTGATCCTGCCTATGGTGCAAGGTTGGGCCCAAGGGGCCCCGGATGGCCCTTGGGCCCCGGACTCTGGTGGTGTTCGAAAAAGTACCACTGGTACCACGCCTCAATACAAAGTTGCTGGCGTTTTCATCATTTATGGGGATTTATATGGAAAACCACCTTTTTTAATAGGCAAATCATCTATAAACAGGCCCATCATGATGAAAACATCATCTTTATCAATGATGAAACTGAGTCAACAAAAGGTGACCCATAATACCTCCTGCATTTGCCAGGGACATCGTTGAATATGTTGAATAGCTGATTTGGTTTTGCTACCGCCAGGCTGGTAAACCATATAAAACATTGTAAAACCATTCATACCGGTATCTTGGAAATCAGCTGGCCAATGTCTCCCAAGAAAACAACCATGCCTTGTGTGAAATCCCAAGATTATTTGGTCACGTGTCATACACGTGTTTCTTCAATGCAAATGCTTTAAAAAATTGGCACTTCATAACCCCAACACCGGGGATATCCCATTTGTGTCGCCAAAATCCCAGTTTTCAGGCCTTTGCGCCGTGCGATCACACGGATGCTGGAGGCGAAGAAAACCTGCTGAGTAAACTGTCGTGGTATTCATGCGATATTGGGACGATCATGGAATAGTCATGGGATAACAATGGGATGATGGGATGATGGGATAATGATCCTTTGGGGGGATTGGAATGCATCCATTTTTGGGGTTTATAATTTTGACCCATGGCCGTTTCTTCAAGAGTATCCTGGTTGGAATTCACCAGCAAACATCATGCTGGCCACATTTGGGCCTTTAATTGCCCTGTCAGGAACCCAAGTCCTAAAAGCAGGTCTTTTTTGGGTATCTATCAAGCAGCCTTTCCGCTTTCGCAGGACACTTTGGCTGAACAGCTGCTTGAGCAAACCGCGGAAGAAGAAGAGGTGCCATCAGAATTCCATGATGTTCCCATAGTCATTGGGCTGTTTAGCTGGCCACATCCAATGACTCTGACTGGCAGAAACTCCATTCGTTACGAAACGACATCCCCAATGCTACAGGAAAACCGACCTCACGGCCTTGACACAACAATTTCTCCAAACGAGCGCGGCAAAGCGCCTGGAATCAATTCTATTACCATCTATTACCCCATGATCCCCATGTTTGTCGATGAATACTATTGATATCTATTGATGGGGTTTATATAGTTTATGTTGATGCCATTTGATACCCACTGTAGCTGAATAGCCATCAGCAAATCACCTGTTCGCATCGCTTCATCGCTTACTCCAGATCCAGCACCGAACACGACATGTGACGCTCAGCGTGTTGCAACCTCAGGAGGAACGGCCTGTTGAACCTGCTCTGTTCGGTTTTTTCCTGGATTGAAGGTCTCAGCTAAAGTTTCAGACATTCGAAGTGTCACTGTGTCACAAATGTGTTAATGATCCTTACCATTTGTTACCAGAATCTTTTAATAATGTAAGAATCTTTTGAACATTCCAATGTTACCATTGGTTTTCTATGGTTTTCTTAGATTCCAATGTTTAAAATGGTCAGCACACGCTTCGGTGATCTGGAATCCCGGCTCCGACCACAACTTGATCCCGGCTTTGGTGCAGTGGCATTGAGCCATATATTGATATGAACATATATGGCATATCATATATATATATTATTGGCATATAATATATATATATATATTATTGGCATATATATATAATATATATATATGGCATATATGGGCTATAGGTCTATATGTGAAAAGTCAAAGAAATATGCCGCAAAAAAGTCACAATGGGTCAATGTTTACTTGGAGTTTGATTGATAAGGATCAAATTTTCTGATATGAATTCCGACGTGATTAGTAAACGTATCAGGATCCCATGGGTTTGAAATATGGACCTTGGAAAATCTCCTTGGAAAATCTCGGAACATCTTGGAAAATGAGCCCAAAAATTGCTGGACCCTTTTTGCCACCTTTTTGGCACCAGAAATTGTCAGCTTTTGTCAAGGTCTGATGGTAAAGTGAAAGCTGAATTCAAAGAGATGGACGCGTCCCGGGCTCCCAGAACTCCCAGTTCCCTCCCAGTTCCGGCAAGATGCAGTTAATGAAGCGAGTTCATGGTATATGTCCAATGAATATGTTATGTGGTTATGTGACAATATTGCATATAATTGTGATCTACAAATATAAATTGTGATAATATATATATAATTATGATATGTTATATGTTATATATATACAGTACATATGTATATAACTGGGTGAAGTATTGCAATCATATTATCCTGTGCCCATATTGGATATATCATCAATTACCATCAGAGCTGGGTGAAGTATTCCCTTTATATCTTAAAATATACCATATCAATCATGTCATATACTATGTATATGTCACCATTTGCTGCAATTAGTATGTCTCCATATCATGTATGTGTATATATACACACTTTATATTATTTATAATTAGATACTAAATATATGTCCATCATATACATCATATATACACCATATATCCTCCATCTAATAAATGGATATATCATCAAATCACCCAGTGATTTTTGAGGCCGACTGGGGACAGTGCAGTGGATGCCAAGTCGCCAGTTGCGCACTCAACTGGGGAATCCCATAAAAATCATGGGAATTCATGGGATGATTGGGATGATTGGATTAAAAATCAGATTGATTCAAAAATCAGATATCTTGGAATTGGGATCATTGGAATACTTGAATACTTGAATACTTACAGTAATTAAGTGATTGTTTTTTCAAAATCCCATCTTAAAAAAAAACCCATTAAAAAGTTATGGCCATTAGTTAATGGCCATAACTTTCCAGTCACTTTCCCAGCCACTGTCCAGGTCTTGGAAGGGGCAACGAGAAGTTGACGCTTGGAATTTTCGTGCTGGGAAAACCTCCAGAGATTTCCCTGCCTGATGTTGTTCATATGTTAAACTCATATAGGATTATAGGGTTGTTTGAAAATTGGGGGATAGCCGGGATAGCCCCAGTTATGAAATGGCCATGTTCATAATTTAAGATGAAACATATTGATAATCCATATAATCCATTGGAATTGCGGGTCCCGATTTTCAAACGAACCCATACTTGGATTCATCTGGGTAAAAATATCTGTAGTATGTCAATATGTAGCGACAGATGCTGGGAAAAGCCTTGGTGAATTGTGGTGGCTGCCCACGCCACGGCTGAGAAAATCAGGCTGATACTCTGCCGGAAACTGTAACCTGCAGCCCAACCTCTTCGCACCATGATTTTGCACACCCCAACAGCCATGATTTTCGTATTGGTCAAAATCGGAGTGCAAAAATTCGAAGGTCAATCCCGAAAATGGTCAGTCCTGTGGTCCCTTGAGTCTCATTGTGACACATCAGTTTCAAGCCAGGGGAATCGTTCCAAAAGAGAATCAGGAGATCTTGGACTACCCTGACTACCCTTCATGATATAATTACCGTTATGTTCCCATATTCCCATGATATCCCATTAACTCCCACTATCTTCCAATGAAATTCCATGATATTCTCATATTCCTATAATATTCCGATTAGAAATCCCATTATATCCCATCATATTTGTCATTCCCCAAAAAAATCATTGATCATTAGATTCATTGGTTTCCATGTTGGCCGATCCCCTGACGACTTTTTCGGCCTTAGGACCGCCCTCGGCTAAAAGCACCGAGCTAATTCACGCGGCGCTTCGGTCCATGGCTGTGGCCCCAGCTGCGTTTCATCCGTGGAACCATTTTTGAAGCGGAAAATGATGAATTAATGTATAATATCTATGTAGAAAGATAGATAAGATAGAAAGAACGATATATAGATAGAGATATAGATGTCTATACATATATCTACATGAATCCTGGGATGGCTCTCATTTTGCACTTTTTCTCTCAAAAAGTGCCGCAATGAACCACAGACAAAACGCTGCTGCGGCTTGTACGGAACCGGCCGTGGTCGAACATCTTCCAGACGAATTCTTTAAAAAAATCCACGAAAAATTGACGTTCCCCTTTGTGTCCTGCAGTCCAGAAAAAGCCTGCTGCAATTTGTGGCACTTGAAATTTATCAAGAGCCTCGGCTATGCGATCGGCACAGGAATCCAACATGAAGAAAATCGTTTCAGTGGGTACGATCGAGCACTAGACACCCAATATCACCCAATCACCAGAGCGAAAGTTCACATCTCATGTTTCTTGGGTCCCAACATGTCCCAACGATGTTCAACTGTTGAATTGCTTCCTTTTGCAAAAAAAACTGGGTCAAGTTGAGGTGAAATCACCATAAATAGACCCCAAAAAGTCCGGCCCAACGTGCCCGACGCAACGTGCTGTGGAGTTCCCTGAGTTTGTGACGGTTTGAAACGATGGGGCCACTTGGCTCGTTTCGGCGCAAGGCCCCGGGAGTTCGGCGAGATACGATCTAGGACCTTTGAACAACCCAACTGGTTGTCGGTTGCAAGTATCTTTCCGTTCCATTCTAGATCATGGGGACCATGATGTCAGTTCATTTTCAGATTCTTGGGATAGATTTAATAGTAATAAAGTTGAAACTGCCAACCAGACAGGATGAGAGATGTGTATGTGTGATGAGGGCAGATTGTAATAACCTCGCTATGATCTCACCATAGATTACATTGAGTACGTATACAGTGATAAATATATATATATATGCATGCTGCATGCAGAGAATAATATGCATTCAATAAATGTAATTCATCGATATTCCTTGTTGTGAAAGCGACGAACTTTTGGGGCTCAACTCTTGTGCCAGCCAGACTTGTTGATAGGGTGGGGTTGCCAGTCTGCAGAGGCATCACAGCAAAAAGTGCACAAAGTGGGCGTGTGGGTGCTGTTTTTTTGACTGCGTTTGCGTTGAAATCCAGGTTGAGATATCTTTGTTTCTCGGCATTTTTACCATAGTTTAGAATTGAAAATTGGGATTTAACATCATTTAACCATCAATATGGTTGATCTTTGCCTTCGTTTGCTGATATGATCTTTGTTTTCGTTCTTACAGCGTGTTGGAAAACTCAATGTCAGAGCCATCCTTCTGATGGCAATCCACAAGCCCAACACAAAATCCCAATGCAGAAGCTTTTCACGGCTTCCGTGATGCATTTGAATTCACTAACTACTGTATCTATCTTTGGTTAAATCCAACTGGATAGTTGAATTGTCAACTACTTTTCAGATACTTAACGCTTAAATCATATTCAAATCATTGGGTGATTGGCCGGCAATCCTGGTTGGATTGCCAGTGGCCACAAAACGAAGTAGTACAAAAGGGCAGTATAAATGGTACCAAACCAATTTTTCCCGGGGAATTCTAGGGAGCGCTCTACACTTTCAAATGCGCTGTCCTCACATTTTAGGATCAAACCACCGCCGATATTTCAAGATGACCGGAATGACAGGATTGGCAGCAGCACATGGTTTTCATTGTCTTGGAACATGTTCAACAGAAGCATTGGGCTAGCCACGCTTTGCTTAGAGTTAGAGACATGAGAGAAAGAGACAGAAAGAGAAAGAGATAAACTCTGCATCTGTGGGTTCTTCCCAACTTTTCATCATGGCCGACGGGCAGCTCGATTGCATTCCGTGTCCTGACGGTGAGTGGTTTCCATCGTTTATCCCCACCTGCCAGGTGAGGGTTGTTAGATTTTATCAGAGCTGTTCTCCTCGGCTAGCTGTCCTCCTCGTCCTCGTCCTCCTCCTCCGCCTCCTCCTCTTCCTCCTCCTCCAGTTTCTCGTCGACCATGTCTGCATCCAATTCCACGTCCACTTCCGCCACTTCCATGTCCACTTCCGCCTTGCCAACTCTTCGCCAATCTCTTAGCCAACTTCTGCGCGCAGTGTGCACTGCTGGACCTCAACTGCTGGCTTCCGATCTGAGTGGGCACGGCTGGACCTCAACCGCCAGGTTCCGAGCGCAGTGGGCACCGCTGGACCTCAACCTGGGACCTTCCGAGCTCAGTGGGCACTGCTGGACCTGAACCTGGGACCTTCCGAGCTCAGTGGGCACCGCTGGACCTCAACGGCCAGATAGAATGCCAGAAGATATGCCAGATAGAACGCCAGGTAGAATGTCAAATAGAATGCCAGAAGATATGCCAGATAAAATGCCAGAAGATATGCCAGAAGATATGCCAGGTAGAATGCCAGAAGATAAGCCAGATAAAATGCCAGAAGATATGCCAGAAGGTATGCCAGATAGAATGCCAGAAGATATGCCAGATAGAATGCCAGAAGATATGCCAGGTAGAATGCCAGAAGATAAGCCAGATAAAATGCCAGAAGATATGCCAGAAGGTATGCCAGATAGAATGCCAGAAGGTATGCCAGATAAAGTGCCAGAATGTTTGCCAGATAGAATGCCAGAAAATTTGCCAGATAGAATGCCAGATAGGATGTCAGAAGATTTGCCAGATAGAATGCCAGAAGATATGCCAGGTAGAATGCCAGAAGATATGCCAGTAACAAAACGTATAAATGTCATGGTGGGGATGACTCGAAGTAAAGTAATTTGATCTATACCTGATGGCTTTAAAGAAACAGGATCTTTCAGGTGATGGTAAAGTGTGTTCAGCCAATATGGATCCAATATTATGGAATTTGGTGAATGACTACTCCATGGCTTCTCTTTTGACACCATTCTCAGGATGGTGACTGGGTCAGCAGGGTTTCTGCCCATAGCCGCGTGGTGGTTTTCTAGAATCAGGGACCCGAAATAACATCCAAAAACCAGCAAAATTAGATTAACCCCATCCAAAAACCATAATCATCCCAAGAATGAAATAAATATTATATTATATTATATTATATTATATTATATTATATTATATTATATTATATTATATTATATTATATTATATTATATTATATTATATTATATTATATATATATATGATATGATATCCTACATCCCAAAATTCCATCCAAGAATTTTTCGGCCCACTGACACGTGGCCCTTCATTTTGACACCTCGGCATGTGTCTCCCAGGCCTTCCACTGATCCCACACCCGAAAATTCCGGCCTTTCGGCCACCGGGAGCGGCCTCGTGGCGCCGGTGGAGGTGCCATCTATGGGTGATTTTTGGATGAAAACATGTGGTAAATCCATGGGTTCATTGAGTCCATGTACTTAGTCACGTTAGTCATGGGTTGTTTTTCAATGATTCAGTCCATGATTCTCTGAGGATTCAGGAGTTAGAGTGTTAGACTTTCTTAGACGTTCAGTCATGGATCCATCCAATGTTTGGTGAATTGTGATTCATTTCTATATCATGTTTCATCTCAGAATGGACCATGGGATGGCCTTGTTGGAATCAACGGTTGCCCAAAGGCCACCCAGTCCAACGAGATGCCAGAGAGGCGAGGGCGCGAGGGCCCGAGGGCCATGGCAGCCAGGGCATGTCAGGGGATGTCAGGGGATGTCATTGGCAAGTCATTGGCAAGTCATTGGCAAGTCATTGGGGAAATGTGTGGTAAATTGCTAAGGGATGCTAAGGGGTTATTTGTGTTATCTCTGTTCTAAAATACTCCCCAATTGTCATTGGGTAAATGTGGCATGGTTTCTGGAATTCGCTTCAGCACATTACCAAACATCTGCAATCCATTCCTGACACCATGGTGCTCCGGATGAGGAAGTTGTTCGAAGGCTTTGGATATGGGGTTTAGAAAACTTGAGGTATAGTCCTAGAGATGCTATCTCATATGTCCATCGTGAAAATGATGAGATATCCGCGGTTTGAAAATCGCGAACTTGGGAAAAGCTCTGGATCTTGGGAGGCATCCCAGTAAGCCATCGAGAAGTCTGGTGAACCAAGAGGCGCGTTTTCTGGCGACAGATGTCACATCCGAAAGTTACAACAGAATTTGGGAGATTTCCCCAAAATGTTGTTAATTTAGTTCTGGATATTTCTGGTGTTAAGATGTTTTAAGTTTGTAATTGTAATGAGAAATGATGATCCTTGAGGGAAAACGAGAATTCCAGGTTGTGGCTAGCTGGGTGTGTGAAGAGTGCGCGGATGGTTGAAATTATTTTGCTAGTCAGCCTAAATACACCACGTGGTGGTCAATTCCGCCTTACTCTTGTTTTAAGGAGGACAGAAGTGTTGAGAAGTTGACGCAGCAGTGCAGCAAAGATCATGAACATCAGAATAAGCAATTTATCAAAAATTAAATAGAATAAAATACAAGGGACAACAATGAACAACATTAGTATGGCTCAAAATTTTCCCAAAACGGCGAGTGGACTTCGATGTCAAAATTCGCTAGGAGATGGGAAGTCGAGCGAAGTCTGTGCCATGCTCAGCGGTGAGACTCCTGGCATGTAAATCATGGGGGTTGTGATAGGGGGTTCCCCAAGTTGCCATAGGTTTCAATAGGTTTCAATAGGCTTCAATACAAAGTCATTTAAAAATGGCCGTCCATAACTTGGATAGTTTGTGGGTACCCCCATTTGGGCATTTTAGGAAACCTTCTTGTATGATATGAAAATTGTATGAAAATGTTTGTGGACCAGTATGAACCAGTATGGACCAGTCATACTGATGTTTACTGTAAACTATATAACTATTAGTAAATGGATACAAATGATGTTTACTGATTATCATAACAGGTACATAACTATTGTATAATTATATAATTATGTATTATGGATACAAATGATGGGTACTATGATTTTATGGTTTTCCATTGGGATCCGGTTGCAGCTGTTAGATGACCAGAGAACCTATGAAAAGAAACAGTAAAAACAAGCGATCATCAGATGAAGATCAACGACAAGGAGGATCCTGAAACCTCCAACTATGGATATATCATCTGGATATAAGCTGTATATCATATGGATACTCTCCTGGAGGGTATGAGTCAGAGGAGATGTTCAAAATGGCCTGACAATTTGACGCTTGGGTGCCTGATTCCTAGGTGCCAACGATTCCCTCACGCTACACGGTGACCCTGATCGAGGGCACCCGTGAGGTCGGCAACTGCGGGCTTTTTTGGCCACGGAAACGCTTCATGAAGCAGAAAAAGCAGAAAGTTTGTGGAAAATCAAATGCTGTGTAGGTGTACGCCTACGCCTTTTTTGGATCAAATTCCATCCCATTTTGATCATTTTATTGAGCAAAAGCGACTTGACATCCCGCTGAATCGAATCTCGATCGCCAGTTGAAAGGGTTCAACAGCCTGGCCACGCGCTTCGAGGCTACCAAGGGGAGTGCAAGAGATGATGCATGTTGCTGTGTTTTTTCCATGGTTTTCCTCTGGAAAGCTCTAGTGATGTTTCTTGATCAGAGGAGTTTTGCTGAAGAGACTGATTGAACTATGGAAATATGGATGGTGGAAAATCTCATGAAAATGTGTTGGTTCATGTGTAGTTTGGATATTCAGGAACCATCCAACAACTTTCCAGTAATCAATCATGGCGACCGAAACAAACACCCTCTCAGAATGATACCTTTGGAGTCAAATTTCCTGTGCAGCATAGGAACTTTCAATTTGCCATGATTGTACGACACGTGTATAATCTATGTTGAATATATTTAGATACATATACTGATCATTCACCGAGGAATGTCCTATCAATTCAAGACCACGCTATTAAAAACTATTAAACATTGATATTAATTCTGACTGCGCATGTGTCAAAACAGATTTTGCAACCATCTAAATATATCTAAATGATATACTTCTGGTCGGAATCTATATGTGTTCCATGTTATTTCACGATGGTTTTAAGTCACTCATCCCATGTCGGTTTTATCCCATGGCTTGATCCAGGTGGAAAGACACATCGAAGGTCCAGGGCCTGGAAGGTGTTGCACCCAGTGCCAATATCTAAAAGTGTGTAATATAATATAATGAATATATCATATACATATATAATATTATATATTATATTGTATATTATATATCTATAATAATATAGTAGATTATATTATATATCTCTAATATAGTATATAAATATATGTCTACCAATATAGGAATATACTGGAGTATCATGGAATATATAGTAATATAGTACATGTAATTCATGTAAGTCATGTAAGTCATTGATGGAGCGTTTTGGTTTCCAACTCTTGACCGATACCCAAACATCCCAAAGATCGTGTTTTCTCGTTGTCGGATGGAGAGCCAGTCGAAACGTTGCAAGGGCCAAATCAGTTGGTAAATCCAGCTATTGGCAGCTCTTCCAGCGAATGTCGGATCACCAGAAAAGTGCATCTTATTATCAGCTATGGGTACTTAAGGCGACTGATTTATTTGTTCCCTTTCCGATTCAATCCTGATTGATCTGAGATTGACACATGAAATCCAGATCCAGCGGAAACTGGCATGGAATTCACGGAATGTTTCTCAAAAAATCTCGGCGATCACGCGCCTGTGCTGAGTTATGGGGAGCGGAAGACTTTCCATCAGGACCATGGGGAGAAACGATTGCACTGATTGCACTTGTCAACTTGGCAACATCAGATCAACAGACACTCCAAAAATTGCTTGGTCAAAAGATGATGGTAGATTACCATGGTAGATTACCATGGTAGATTACCTGGTAGATCTGATCGGAATTGCAGGAATTTACTGAAAGGCCCAGTTGGGGTGCTCGAGCCTCCGGCAAAGCTTGCTCCGCTGAAGATGTCATGAGATGCTTTGATACAGTTCCGTCAATGATGCAATGATGCAATGATGCAATGAATCTTTGAAGTTCTTTGGATGTAGAATGAATACTTGAAGGGTCAGAAATCATCAAAGAAAGACCCTCATCCAAAACTGAGTATCACTCAAAATGATTCACTCAAAAATTGATGATTTTAGCAGAAGTTTAGCATGGCGTGGGTCAATTGATGTGTGATGCCAGGGGGCACCAGTGGCTTTGCCTCCAAAGCCAAGCGTTTTGGCATGAGGCCAGCCCAGCCCATTCCAATAAATGGGGAATTCGGATCTGGTGATACAAACCCCCACGTGTTTTCTTGATCGATTTTGTAGAGGTAGAGGTAGAAGAGGACCAGTTAGACATAGAATATCAATATCAAGAAGTTGTTAGGATAGTCGGACAATTCGGAATCACAGAAATTGGTTACAGCTCGCAGGTCCATGCCAAGTATGCCACCACCTGGTCTTGGATGTCCAGGCCCAGGCCGGCAAAATCGGCTGGTACTGGGAGATGTGGAAAATCTGGGGCCATGACCAAGGTGCCTACAACGCTCTGGGCGCCTTGCACAGCACCAAGGAGCCCAAGAACTTCAACAAGGTGGGCAATGGGGAAGCGCCAGAAATTAAAATTAAAACTATATATTGAAATAATGAAATGGGGATCGTATCTGATATAAGCTGCATATATCTGCATATAGTTATGTAAATTCTTTGTGGTTTCAAAATGTTTCAAATATCTCACCAAACAAGCAGCCTATGTCACCCCGGTCCAGCTCCCCCCATCGGATCTGTGGCCACAGACTGCTTCGGCCAACTTCAACCCCTCGAAGAATGGCCAGAAGGTCTGCATTCTTCCCCAGGGACGAAATGAGAAAATGGGGAAAATTGGGAAAATTCCCAGATTCAGCTGAAGTTGATGTGTTCCAGATGTGTGCAACTATTTTCAGTGGATTTTCCATGCCCTTTCCCATCAGGTGTCCATCGTTGTTCAACAAATCTGCCGGATCCAGCGCTTTCAGGTGCCGTCGAGCAGCAAGTTGCCTGGGCCGGGGTCGTCCTGCCATGTGGTGAACTGTAGTGTTGGCACAGAAAGTTGATAGCCACGGCCAGTCAGGATGAGAACAGAATCGAGTTTGTGGTGATGATGATGATGATGATGAGGAGGAGGAGGAGATCTTCACTACCATATTCAGGAATCATCATGACCATCATAGGAATGATTGCCAGTAGGCCCATTCTATAGTATATTAATGTATATTATGATTTTAAGGGGGCGAGGTGCTGCGTGTTCTAATTCGTTGAATTCGTTGTCATCAATTGCTATGGGTGCTATCCACGGCCAGGCAATATGATCCTCGTATGTTGCCAGCGAGAGAGGCAGATTTTTGTCAGACTGCAACCTGTGGACAACTCATGGGACTCATAGCTGGGTCCACATGATGACGATCTTGATCAATGGCCATTCCAGGATCCTAAATTGGAGGTACCTACCATATATAAGGCCTATATAAGGCATCCTGAAATTCCCATTGATCTTGATGTTTGCAAAAGATGTTTGATGTTGTTTGATGTTTACCGATTGAAATGGCAATCAAAATGAGCCACATCTGGGTCTTGTGAATATTCGCAGAGGCTGCAGCGGCACAAGCTGCCTTCAATTCCAGCACACGTTTGAAAGGCTGGGAATGTTCGAAGCTGGCCATGGAATGTTTGTTTCTCAGGTTGATTTTACTGAAGGATGAGTCAATGAGTTGGCGACTGTGAGGGGATATATTTTCTTGCCATTTTGACGGGAAGAGATACTCACCAACTAATGGATATCTGAGATTAGCCATGATAGTTCAAAATAGCACTGAGGTAAACAATTTAGAACTGCCTTGTGCCGCGATAACTTTTGCCACATATCAAAGTCCCACAGAAAATTGAATCTGGAAGTTGAAATCAGTTGAAATCAGTTGAAATCAGTTGAAATCAGTTGAAATCAGTTGAAATCAGTTTGCTCAATTTTGTCAGTTTGGTTTTTCGTACATCGAAATGAAGATGATCGCTGCCAGGAGACCAACCTTCAGACATTCCAGGGCCAGGAGAATACTACGACGGCATGGCCAGGCCGGAAATCCAAACGTGTTGTGTTTGGCCGGTGAAAAGTGTCAAACCCTTCGGTAACGTTGGTTGTAACGTTGCTTGAATTTCCTTGAATTTGGAACAAACATCTTCCAACTTCAATAATTTTTCAGAAACTCGTTTTCAAGGAAAGCACTGCTGGTTTTATGTCCTTTGTTTTATGATCCTCTGGTTATGTCAACAGTTTGCTATGGAAAATCCACCCATTTTTCATGGGAAAATCATTTCTTCCAGGCCAGTTGGCTATGTGCCTCTGTATCTTCAAAGCGACCAGCGGATGCCCACCTTTAAGGAGCGACCAGCGATGGATTTTACCGAGTTTTCCAAGCGGTTTTTCCATTGGAAAAATGGATCAATACCTATGAAAATAGCATTTTTGTGTGTTTTGAATGGGATGAAGCTCCATAAATCAATACCAGCTATGACTTGGGGTGAACAGAAGGTACCCCAAATTGGGAAACACCTATTGTTGTCATGGTGAAAACACCGATTTAAGGTGATGAGAAAATCCGAAAGCGTTGTGCAAAAATATGGCATCCGGTTGTGTTAAATTTTTCAGTTTCACGAAGCTGACCACCAGTCAAATTCAGAGTTCAGACAGATTTAGTCGTAAGATACGACCCTGCACAAAGGTAGTGTTCAAATGGTGGGTCCTGAATTCATCAGCAATTGGATGTACCCATATCTATACTTGTTTAATCACCATAACAAATGTCCGCTGTTTCTTGCAATCCTCAAAATTTGACTATCATCAGCCCAGAGTCACAGAGTCCCGGCAATTCAATCATCATCTGAATTGATACGTCAAAAAAGGAAAATATCAATTCAATTGGGTGTGTTGTTTCAATCATCTTAAATCATCAACCCAATCGATCCAGCAGAGATATGTTTTATCCCAGAGTTTCAGATTGCAGTTGAAAATCAGTAATCACTTGGGATATTTGGTTTAAAATGTGTTCAAATACCTAAAAATCAGCATGAAATCAGCCATCTATCAGCCATCTAGAGCCATCCATGAGTCACCAGATCTTGGGACCGATGGGATGGGACCTGCCAGGAGCGCCACACGCCCCACATCACCCGGATCCATCACGACCTCCCTGCGGCTTCTGCAAAGGCCAGGAGTTCGGAAGCCCAGGCGATTTCTGGCAGTTTACACACCAAAACTCGGGATTTCAACAGACGAACAGATTGAAACTTGGGAGTTGAAGACTTGAATTGAACAAGAAGTTGTTTATCCGAAGAAGGGGATGCAACAGGTTTGAATTTCTCATTTTGAGGCTGTTGAACGGCTTCCCACCCTAATGTCCATCTATCAAAAACTGGATTTTACAAGCCAGATGAGGGTCGAATAAAGAATGGGATTGCTTTTCTGAGCTACGGAACGGCTGCAAACCAAAGATCAAATATCTACCCCTTTGTTGGTTTTCCGCCCTTGTCAGTGTATGGCTAGAACTTGAGCTATCTTGGACTATGTCAGTATAGAGCATGTGTTCTCATTGTTTCATCCACAATTCACAGCTATTCACAGCTTTGGCGCTAAGGAATTTTGGGAGATTTCGGAGATGAGGTGAGTCGCCAATGTCGTGGGTCCCAAAGTTTGGCGCAGCCAGACTTTGGACACTACCAGGACGAATGGCTTGATGTTTTGCTCCAAAAAAAAGGCTGGGGGGGTGGTTGGGGTGCTAATCCCAGTTATGATAGTTCGAATTATAGATAATTATAGTTGTAATGATAGTTATGTGATAATTTTGATCCCAGTTAACTTAAGAACCTATGATAGTTATAAGTTATAATGCATATAATTCCGGTTGTAATCCCACTTGATACTTGGAATCCTAAATTTGATTTTTGGGATTAAGGTTCTATTCCCACTTGATCCCATTTTGGATCTTTGGCTGCCAACACTTGATTCGGCAAGTGATGCAAAAGGGATTGCTTTAAAAAATGGTTCCGATATCGTCGTCAGCATGTTTACTGATTTGCCTTCCAGCTTTCCAAGGGTACACAACTCAAAAGTGCAGTCGATGGGTAAGGGGGTTCCCAGTTCTCACCATTCCTGAAAAAACAGAAGGGGTTTCATCTTGCTCAAAAAAAATGGAGCAACATATCCCAAAATAGTGATGGTTGACGTTTCTATCTAGGATTTTCTATCTAGGATTAGCTCCGAATCACCAGGAGAGCCTGGAAAAATCCACAACTTCGGCCTGGTGACCCAGTGACGCCAGGTTTTTTGTGTTGACTTTTTGGGGGTGTTAGATGAGGGTTGTTTGACGGTTGACCATATAGAAATACGGGTACCATACAATTATGTACACATATATATATATACACATATACATAGATCATCATTTACAAATAACATGATACATTTGAATTACAATGTAATATGTATATATATATGTATATATATATATATGTATCTGTATATGTAAATCCAAGCATCCCAATGAAACCTGCTCAACCTTGGAAGCATGGCCCAAGACACGGTGAGGTGTGCACCAGCGCCTTCAAAGACGGACCCAAACGCACGGACTGGGCACCGGAGGTGCAGCTTGCGCCCTCCCTGGATTCTGTGCATAGCTAAGTTACGAAGTTTCAAAAAGGGGCAAATGTCAGTTGTAGTTACTATATGTAAACTATATATATATATATATATGGGTGTGTCTGAAAATAGTGTACCCTAAACCCAATGGTTAACGATCATTATCCCTATGAAAAATGGCTATTTCATTGGGAATATACCTTATTTTCAGACAAACCCATATATATATATATATGCAGTTGGGAAATTCTTCACCAACTTAACTGGTCCAAAAACTTTCTAGTGGCAGCAGGAGCTGTCTCGCCTTCCTGGCCCTGGAAAGTACGAGCCAAAGGCGCGATGCTGCGGGGAAAACTCGATGAGTCATGGATCTAGACAAAACACCAAATTTCTTGGCAATTTGGAGCCAAATTTTGGCATCAACTGACCAAAAAAGAGATGTTTCACCTTTGAGATCCTTTGAGATATGGGGAGTATAATACCAACACATGAATGTGATACTAGGTGGTTCGTAAGCACAAGTTGTTTCTTTAGATCTAAGATTACCAGCTGAATGGCGCTGACCCGAAAGTTTTATCTTGATATCTTGATGGATCTTCTGATTCTGAGCAAAACCCCAATGATTGGCCCTGAAGAAACCCCCATCATGATATATTCCAGGGATATCCTTAAATATCCTTCACAGGTGCCAAGATGAGATGCTGTTTTCATCTGTTTTCCCATGTCCATACTGTTTTTCATGATGAAACATCCCATTGTTTTTCATGGTGTTTTCCCATGCTGTTTTATCCGATTTTATCCCCAGAATTTCCCCCGGGTCCAGCTTCGCTGC